CTCGCTAAACCCTGTGTGGTCAAAAGACAGATTGGAGACAAGCATTGTCACCTGTGCAATGGGGTAGTTGCGTTTCATGGGGGGAGGCGGGGTTCCCTATTTGTGAGATTGTATGGCATGCTGTACACAAGTACTAGTGCAACATAGTGTAGACGTCATATCGTTGTCTATATGCCCACGTCGGCTTCGGAAAATAGATTGAATCTCGTAGATTGTTCTGGATCAGTATTTGTTCATCTAATTTGGTTTTATCGAAAGTCATTTATTACATTGAACTAGAATGTTTCCTTCATAGAGAGAGTGCAGATCTTACATATATACGGAGTCTAACATACGGAGTATATTCTCTTGTACTCTCACATGAACTTTAAGTTGTTGTCCTAGATTCTTAAATCAGACAGCATCAAGCTTAAAATATTAGCACAGACACAAAGACATACGAGTGGTTACAATCCATATTCATTGTACGGAGTACGGAGTACAATTACGTAGTACAATATACTCAAAGTCTGCCGGGCTGGCCCGGGAAAACCAGTCTAATCTGGCGGGCGCTGCATGAAGAAATCAGCTCACATCGGCAGAGATGCCAGTCAGGTCAAATTGACGGGATGTGATCTACTTCCTAGTCAGAGGCTAACCAGAAGAGGTCTAGTGTGTCTACAGAGATTTTTTTTTCTGTCTTTTAACCCTTTTGGTGGTCTGATACTCTGGTTATTAATAATATCAGCACTTGTAGGTCAGAGTTTTTTTTTTCTAGGGGCTTTTTATTATGGGTCTAGGCCGAACAAGGGATGCCGAAAAGACATGCCGAACATACCAGGCAAATAATTGGAGGGAAAACGGAATCATGCTAGAGGTAAACATCCATGAGTTTGTATATTAAAAATATTTGTGAAGTTCAAATCCATGTACGGAGTACATATATATCATATATATCATTATTGTACAAAGTACATGAGTGTTTTCGGTCAGGGTCGATACCTAGCTATCCCGACTCGGGATTGCAATCGGCTCGGGATAGAAAGCACATTCGGTGTGCCGATTGAGAAAAAGTGGAGACAAAAAATCAACGGATCGGAAATCTCTGCGCGCGACTCGACCGAATTCTCACCGGCAGTGGGTCTATGCTAGTTTCTATGCTTCTTATCAGCACGTTTGAAGTCGCTGGAATTCGTGCAAAGATATCAACGGGACTATCTCCCTCTGTATTTAAAGCTTCTATTTCCCTCGTCCCTGATTTAGCTGTGAACTGCAATCAAATATTCTTGAGCTCTTAATCTAAACTATGATCGGCGCGCCATTGACCGGGTAGAGAGTAGAGTCCACGCATTACGACCCACTTATCGCTTGGTATTAGAAATTCATTTTGTTTTCTGGTTTTCACCTTCTTTCTTCGGGAATCCACCCGGTTTCAGTTGCCTTTTGTTTCCGTCTAGAGCACTTTGGCGGGTAAATTGTCACGCCTGCACACAGTTTTCAATCTATGTTGTATGCATACTCTGGTTCGCCTCTCTGTCGCCTCTCTGTAAACACGGCACCAGGATCCGATCTGAAAGAGATCACCTGAGTATCCACGTCACATTGATATACCTGAATTTAGTCAGGAACCAGAACCAGAAGTGTCATGGTCATTGTTACGTATCCATATCTAGTCCTTGGCCTAGGCACCACATTCTCATTCGTGCATTTGCACCGAGGACCCAGATATCTAACTGAATCCCGTATGTTTCTAGAAGGTGGCAAGAAGGTCGGGTGATCAGATGGTTTTTTGTTTACTATTCACATGTTTATCTGCTGTTCTATTTGCGTTTTATAGTACACAAATTGCATACTAGTTATCTATCTCTATGAACCTTAGAAATATCACGAATACAATGATTTTAAGAACTAGTAGTGCAGTATACAGATGTTTTCAGCTCACGTGCATTCCAGGTACCCTAAAATTCCCCCGTTCCCTCCACCTTTCTCCACCAAAAAAAAGAGGAACCCAAACACGGAGTACGGAGTATATGGCGCTAGTGAAAAAGACCAAGAAAAGTCTGTTTGGGCCTATAGAGTGAAATTTACCAAAGTTTACAACCTTACAACCCCATTTCACCCCCATTCCATATAGGAAAAAAAACGTGGGACAATACCAAGTAAGATCCGGGCCCCCGTTTTTTGCTAGTCATAGTATCTCTCCATACTTCCCGTACTAGGCACGGAGTACGGAGTACCCACGGTACCCCAAGGGAAAGAGCCACCCACCGAGACTTGCCTTGAACTCCCCCAGGACTATTTAGTTCGCCTTCTCCCTTTCTCTTCTCCTTTTTCTTTCCAACTTCTATTTACATAATTTTTCACCATTGATCTGTTCAATATGGGTATCTCTACCTTTATGGATAAGATCAAGCCTGGAAAGGCTGAATCTCAGTTCTCCTCCCAGGCCGCAACTCCTGCTCGTGCAGACTCGACTACCGTTGAGAAGGATAACCTCACTCTCGATGATAGCCCAGTCAAGTACTTGACCTGGCGGTCATTCATCCTTGGTCTGTGTGTCTCCATGGGTGGTTTCATTTTCGGATACTCTACTGGTAAGTGTCACACAACCCTCGCCACTTATGGATGCAACGTTAACAACAGTCGAACCTCAGGTCAAATCTCGGGTTTCACTACCATGATCGACTTCAAGCAGCGCTTCGCTGAGTACAATGCTGCCACCGGAGAATATGCTTTCAGTAACGTTCGCAACGGTCTGATTGTTGGCCTGGTATGTTGCAGAAATTTATTCCCTACATGCAAGCCATGACCCAGACTAAACTCTATCAGCTCTCCATTGGAACTATGATTGGTGCCCTGGTGGCTGCCCCCATTGCGGACCGTATTGGCCGCAAGTTCTCCATCTCCTTCTGGGCCCTCCTCCACATCGTCGGTATCGTTGTGCAAATTGCCACTACTGACAAATGGTACCAAATTGCTCTTGGCCGCTGGGTTGCTGGTCTGGGCGTCGGTGCCCTTTCCAGCGTCGTCCCCATGTACCAGTCTGAGTCTGCCCCTCGCCAGGTTCGTGGTGCCATGGTCAGTGCTTTCCAGCTGTTCGTTGCCTTTGGTATCTTCATCTCCTACATTGTCAACTTCGGCACCGAGACCCTTGAGAGCGACGCCTCGTGGCGTATCACCATGGGAATTGGCTTCGCCTGGCCCCTGATTCTTGGTATCGGTACCCTCTTCTTGCCTGAGTCCCCTCGTTTCGCCTACCGCCACGGTCGTACCGAAGAGGCCCACGATGTCATGTGCAAGCTCTACGGTGTCCCCCGCAACCACCGTGTCGTTGCTCAGGAGATGGCCGATATGAAGCAGAAGCTTGAGGAGGAGCTCGCCCATGGCGATGCTGCCTGGCAAGAAGTCTTCACTGGCCCCCGCATGTTGCACCGCATCTTGCTTGGCGTTGCTCTGCAATCTTTGCAACAGTTGACCGGTGCTAACTTCATCTTCTACTATGGAACCAGTATCTTCCAGGGTATCGGTCTCAGCAACTCTTACGTCACCTCCATCATTCTCGGTGCCGTCAACTTCGGCATGACCCTACCCGGTCTATACATCGTCGAGCACTACGGTCGCCGCAAGTGTCTGATGTACGGTGCTGCTTGGATGTTTGTCTGCTTCATGATCTGGGCCTCCGTCGGTCACGAAATCCTGAACAACAACCCCTCCTCGCACCCCGCCGGCGTTGCCATGATTGTCTTCACCTGCTTCTTCATTGTCGGCTTCGCCACCACCTGGGGTCCTATCGTCTGGGCTATCTGTGGTGAGATGTACCCCTTCAAGTACCGCGCTGTCTGCATGGGTGTTGCCACCGCTGCCAACTGGACCTGGAACTTCTTGATTTCCTTCTTCACTCCCTTCATCTCCAACACCATCGACTTCCGCTACGGCTACGTCTTCGCCGCCTGCTGCTTCCTCGCGATTCTCGTTGTCTTCTTCTTTGTCAACGAGACTCAGGGCCGGACCCTTGAGGAGGTTGACACCATGTACGTCCTCCACGTCAAGCCCTGGAAGTCCGCTGGCTGGGTTCCCCCCGAGGGCATCGTTGCCGATCTCCACGGACCTGTCACCGGGGGCGGCAAAGAGGGTGAGGCCGGCACTGGTGAGCACCAGCACCACGATGATTCTCAAGAAATTCGCGAAGAGTGATGCGATCATGACTGAATGGATAGCGCGCATCGCGCATCGCTTATGTGGCTGCTTTTTAACAAATTCTGTGTTCATAATTAACTCTACTCCTTGATTAGTTGAGTCTCCACCATATCCCTATGGAGACCATGATTTAATAGCATTACAAGCAAGGCTTGCTCTAGCAATCTTATTTTTTTTATCAGATTGATTCAATGTTCTCCATCTTTTATCTTCCCACAACCATATTTAATCCCACCACTGATCAAAAAGATCACTGATTCCCAAATTCCATCCTAGCTCCCTTTCTACTAACAGTCCCATAAACAGCAGGAACGTCTCCTTTGACCTCCCTCACCCTCCAGATGCCCCTCCATAACCTTGAAATTTCTCATCCGTTGTAATAGCGGGTTAGACAAGGTTTTTTTTTGCTTTGGGAGGTGGGGTAGCAGTGGGAGTTGACTTGCACGGCCGATGTTGCCGAGGCCTATCTATGCAACTCCACTTCCGGTCATGGTTGCTGGAGTAAAAAGGTGTGTATCTTACAGATGAATTTGTATATAGAAGACTGTAAGAAGGTTTATATACGATGTGGTTTGAAATGGTTCAAGTCTTAGTTGGTTGTGGCTATAGAGAAGTATGTAGTATGTTTTAATATTCTGATATCCATCCTATTTGCCTTCAACGTCCTTCCACGTCAAGCTACAATTTCTCATGTGACCAACCGAAATAGCCCATTTAACAGGCAAGTAATCGAGCATATAGGTGCCACTGACAGTAAGTCAGAAGTCTCATATAGTAAAGAAAACTTGATAAGATCTCTAATTCACAAAACATCATATCCCAACCTAAAGCCTCGACTTCTCAATAATCGAAATATCCTGAAACGGCAAACCGAGATACATCCACATGAACGCAAACCTATAAGAATCAGCATATATTCATCGCATAGAGATCCTACAAACTTACCGATCACTACCAAAAAAGGGTTCTTCCTTCCCCTCGGAATTCCGCACCCAAAACCACGGCGCGCCATAGGCTCCTTTATCAAGAGCAATCTGCGTATTAGCTGTCAAAGCCTGCTTGAATTCTGGGCTCGATGCCGCAGCCAGGATCTCCTTGGCTTCCGATTCGGAGTACTCATTGCTCTGTAATAGCTCAGCTAGCCTCTCTGGCTTGCTGATGTCGATGCCTTTATAGTACATCCACTCCCACAGCGATAGGAAGGTTGTTTCGTACTTCTCGCGTGAGAAGTTACTTTTGATGTAGATCATGCATCGTTGGGGCTGATTTGTTAGTGAGGGAGAAATGGTTTGAAGACATAGAGAGGATGATACCATGATTGAGAGGATTGGGAAGAAGTCTGGTGTTTGGATCTGCGGGACTCCAAAGTATTTACATGCTCGCTCCGAGTCGAATTTGGAGTACATTGCTTTGGCGGGGAGTGTCCAGGGGGGCTTGTTCCCTGTTAGAAAGAGTCAGTAACCCTAATTTCAGTTGATAACACTACCTGAGTCATAGTTGAATAATGCATACCCGAGCCAACATTAATCCCACCTAAGAAGACCGGGTGGAACCTGTTATATTAACACATATCCATCCCATGTAACAACTAGGGATGCGCATACTCAACCTCGACACCATGTGATTGTAGAGCTTTGCGATGCTTTCGTAAATAAATCGTCGCATAGTATGAGTATGGCGACACTGTCGAAGCGGTAATTAGCAAACAATCCAGAGGTGGGAGCTGAAGGTTTGCATACCGCAGTCAACGTAGGCGTCAATCTTGCCAGGCATGACGACTAGTTATGGTAAACGGTAATATTCTATTGAGTTCAAGTTTCAGCAGTTAGGCTAGTTGAATTAGCGAAGACGAGTTGATTATAGCGTGGAGGTTGGGGCCGAGGTGGGGATGGACCGAGGTCCCCCCGACGATGATGAGGTGATCATTTTAATTTCCCCCCTAAGTATCAACTAATATCAACTATTTGTTACCAAGTTTTATATTAGAAGATTTCGTTTGAAAAAAATAAATATGTTTTTGCGCATGCATGAGAAAAGCATTCAGGACATGCATAAAGTAAACGCTAATGATTTATTTCTCACCCTCCGCTCAATCCTTGCGGCTGATAGCCGACTGTCGAGTATTGATCATATCCAGGTCATAAGGGTTCTCCTCATATTGCGTCGCAGTCACAACACGATGCAAGGACTGACCGGATTGCCGAGACGCGCGGGATGCATAACGCGCGATCGTACCACGAGATGGAACAGTAGACAAAGTATCAGTATCACTCAACTCAGCATCATCAGATACCCCGGTCACCGAGTTTGTCTTATCATTCTTCTCCGAATCAGGCTCCTCCCGGCGAGCTCCCTGGTTCCTCTCAGCAAGGCGGCGCATAAAGGCATCCGCCTCGGAAGCGTATGTACACCGCTGTCTGATACGGGCGCCATACTTGTAGAAGATGAATGGAAAGGGCACACATGCAAGCGCCAAAAAAGCCGGAATCGATGAAGCCCAATGAATGCCAAGGTTCTGATACATGTAGGTTGTGAAAAGCGGGAAGGCCATGCCGAATAGTGAGCGGAGGGCGGAATTTGCGGCTAGCACGGAGGCAGAGAAGATCGTATATGAGTCGATAAGGTAGTTGAACACGCTAAGAAAGACAAGGACCATGCCGAAACCGAAAGGCGCTCCTGCTGCAACTGAGGCTATCCAATGGATGTTTGGCGAGTTGGACCAGGCGAACCAGAATAGACCGATTGGTAGTGCTATACCGCCGACCATGCTCGGGGGCAGTCTCAGCTCAGGAGCGAGTCGGTCGGTGGTCTGGCTGCACTTTTTAGAATAGCGGAAGTTTTCAGGGAATGTGTATATCACTGCCATTACCATACCGACGAGGATGCCGAGGAAGGCGAGGCCGCCGATACCTTCACTCCAGCCTCGGACTTCTTGGAAAACGATTGGGTAGGCGGCAAAGAGCATGTACAGCGTGCCGTAGATAATTGCCATATATATAGAGAAAAGTAGCACAATTGGCTCACAGAAGAGCAAGATCCACGGGCGGGAAAGCGCAGTTTTCAACGTCTTGCCCAGTGGAGCGGGACCACGGTCGATATCAAACTGACTGCGATACACTTTCCCAGTTAGGGCAGACATCCTTTCTGCGCGACGGCGCAGAAGAACAGGTGCATATGTCTCTGGCAACAAGAAGATGATACATAGCCAGAGCACACCCGAGAATGCAGCAAGGAGCCCCTCCACCCACCTCCAGCCGGCAGCAACAGCTAGAAACCCTCCAATAACTGGGCCTAGTGTTGGCCCTAGGAAGGGCGCAGCAGCAAAAAGACTAATAGCGATACCACGTTGAGAAGCTGGGAACATATCTGCAATAGTGCCGCCTCCATTTCCGAACGGCGAAGAACCAAAGGAACCCGCCAGGAATCGCAAGACGATTAGTGTCTCGATGTTTTTTGCACCCGCTGCACCGGCATTGAAGACAGTGAGAAACATGAAAGAGATGGTAAAAATATGTCTCCGGCCGAAGATCTCACTAAGGGGTGCCCAGATCAAGGGCCCAATAGCGAATCCAAGCACGAAGAGCGATACGCCCAGAATAACAATTTCCTGGGAGGCACCAAAGTCCTCCATGATCTGGCTCATTCCGCCTGAAAATGCAGATGAGACCAATGACACTGCAAGAGTCACGAATGATACTAGCAGTGTAATTGACCACTTTTTGATCGGGCGGAAGTTCATAGGGTTGCGCGGGTCGGCAGGGATCCAGACGACGGCATATGGCACGTCTTCAGTGCCTGAACCGGTATATGAAAATTGCATGACTTCCTCAGTGACGACCTTTTGGTCGAAGATCAGACGCCAGAAAGGGATTTTGGAAGGCAGCGTGACCTCACTCCCGTCGTTGGGAGTGGTCATTTTGATGGGTTCAGACCAGGAGTTATATATCCATTAAAGGAGAATATGATGGCCAAAACAGCAAGATTGTCCAAAATTTTCTAATGTTCGAATATTCAGGATGATATAAGAAAAAAAAAAAACAAAATCCCCTAGAATATAACCGAAAGCAGCCTCGGCTCAATAATTGAACAACCAGAACTTCCCCTATCCTGACATAAAATATATGTACAAAAAGTTACCTAGGTATATACCTAAATAAATATATATACTCTCGGCAGTTATATGCCGTTTGCACAAATTTTCAGTGGAGTCCAATATATACCCTGGAGTAATCTGATTGGCCCAAGTGTCGGCCCGAACGCCATTTTTACGGCTCGAAGGCTTCGATGGCTTGGCAGATACAAATCCTTAGTAAGTTGTACATGATTGTCGATTTCTTGTAGGGCTTTTCAAACTTCAATTATTATCCCTTCAAACCTATAAAATCCCAGGAATTATCTACCTAACCGAAACAACCAAGTCGTAGCCTTAAGGGCCAAACCGCCAAATGGAATAAGAGATGGGATGCTTTTAAGCTACCCATATTATCTATGTACCTAGAAGTATATTTGCTTTATATACTTGTATTGTATACTATAAAGTACCAAATACATCCCCTTGTAGTTAAGATACTGAGATTGGGGCGGCTCCAATCACCATTGCGTTAGTTTGATGGATTTTCTGCTCTTCCTTTGACTTCTCGACAGCAAGTAGCAAGTACGTGGAGCGGATGTGGAGTTCTATCAAGTCAACACGGGATCCTCTCCACAGGAGCAGCAACTGACCTTGCAAAATAACCTCATATCCAACCCAAGAGTCATCATCTCGATCATCCTCATGTACTAGCACTGGGAAAGATGGATCCCACGCCTTTGGCCGCACGCGTATTTTTAACCCAACGGTCTTGCTCATATCAACCCATAGTATATCCTCGCCGGAAGACGTCCGCGCCTTTTCAGAGCCCCCTTCGCAGTCAATTTCATTAGTTTTCTTCGTCTTGCGGCTTTGACCACGCAACCAATCCCTCCATAACCGAACAACCCCGTCCTCAATAGTCGATGCACTCAACAGCAACAACGTTCCCGGCCTAACTTGTACTAGATTGGCCACCACACATAGCTGTGAGAAATCCTCATATCCATCCAAGGTAACCTCACGTATCACTGCATCCTCTCCATGGCCTTCTCGACGCGTATTCATGTCAGCCCGTATGAACCCCACCACCTCCGACAACAGAAGCATCCTACCTGGCGAGAAACCAAACTTTGAGCTATTTGTCTCTCGTTCTTCTTCTTCTTCTTCTTCTTCTTCTTCATCATCATCATCGTTGCTTACCGCTGGGCGAAAGCGAGAATATAGCCCCATCACTCTACCAAGCTGGTGGGCAGTATCGACGTTGTCATACAACGAACCTGCGCCATCATGACGCTCGCTCAGTCCATCTGTACCGAGGTATTTGCAGAAGACATGTGGTTCAGTGAGCTTTGAGCTAGGATGGAAGCATTCTAGCAGCAACTTGTATTCCTTGAGTGGTATGCTGAGAAGTAGGCGGTAGTGGAGAATTCTTAGGACTAGGGCGTGGAATCGGTGGTTGACTGATGTGAGCGGGAGAAGCGACCGGGTTGAGAAGTCGGATAGGATTTGGACAAATATCTAAGAATACTATCAGAGGCCTATCCTGTAGTCTGTTCTGTAAACATACCTCGTTGGGTAACGAGTCCAAGGTCACCGCGGGATTGGTGGGGTTCATAGTGGTTGGTTTTCGGGTGTTAATGGAGACACAACCTGGAGAAAGGGATCATTGATACTAATTAGTATACCCCAGATAAGTTAATTAATACAACAGACAAGAGACAACAGGTCTCTACGAGTTGCAGTGTTGCTGTTAATCGATGTCGTACATCAACGTACAACAGAAACTGTACCACCTTGGAACACATAAAAGGATGATAAGAGATAAGCGACGTCATACCGCGGGGATACGGGTATAAATTTCCTTTTTCGGCTTTTTCGGCTTTTTGGTGTGAGAGTCCACTGCTAGTCCACTGCTAGTCCACTACCAATTCACTACCAACCCACCTGGGCACTGATGTGGGACAACACCCGGGGATTATGATTTTTAACCGGTTAGTTGCGGAAATAAATTACCCATTTCGGCTAAACTCAGGTCAAACAGTCCCCCCAAACGTGCATGTTCCCCAGAAAACTGCGGGATCCCGATTCCAGTACTCCGTACAATTCACCGAAAGACAATGCCAAGTGCTTGTATGTCAACTTATATTGTTTCTACAACGCCGCAATACTATATTAGCATATTAGGCGAGATCCGCCTGTACACTTTTATATACATACCACTTGGCTTCGCTTAGTTTAACAGCTGTAACCTGACACATTCCTACTCCGGAGACCCCCACCTCCCCACCAGCAGTCCAACTCCGAGACCCTTTTCAACTATTCTCGGGGATTTTCTTTTCCCTACTTCTTCTTCTTCTTCTTCTTCTTCTTCTTCTTCTTCTTCTTCTCTCTCTGATTTTTAGGATCATATCAATCCATAGTGCCATGGAAAACGTACTCGACGACATCTCCCACCGGAGATACAACCCCCTCCGTGGCTCCTCGATATTGGTCTCTCCCCATCGAACTAAACGGCCCTGGCAGTGAGTATTGACATGATAAAAATGGAAACTGTGAAACAAACCAGCTAATCATACAATAATCTAGAGGAGCCCAGGAGAGCCCCTCCAAGACTACACTGCCCAACTACGACCCCAAATGCTACCTCTGTCCCGGGAACGAGCGCGCCCAGGGCGATACCAACCCCAATTATGAGAGCACTTTCGTATTTGTAAACGACTACAGCGCAGTGAAGGAAGAACAAGCGGCCTATGAGCCCTCAAATCAAGATGGTACGTCTAACTGCCCAGCTCCATCCACACCACCCGTATCAAGCTGACAAACCATAGAACTCGAATCGCGGTTCCTCAAAGCCGAGCCCGTAACCGGCAAGTGCTACGTGCTCACCTTCTCATCCGCGCACAACCTCACGCTCGCCGACTTGGCACCTCGCGAGATCGTGCCCGTGATCGACGCCTGGACAGAAATCTACACAGCACACCTGTCCCCGAGCTCGCCGTTAGCGAAAAACGCACCCGCAACAAAGCTGCCACCCATCTCCCCCTCAACAAGTGTTACAAAGCCAAAGGAGCAGTACCGGTACATGCAGATATTCGAGAACAAGGGCGCGGCAATGGGGTGCTCAAACCCGCACCCGCACGGGCAGGTTTGGACGACCAGCTCAATGCCGGAAGAGCCCGCCGCCGAAATGGATCAGTTGACCAAATACCGCCAGCAGCACGGCGGTAGCCACCTATTGGAGGACTATGCGGCGCTGGAGAGCCGCAAGCAGGAACGCGTTGTGTTTGAGAACGAGGCGTTCCTGGTTGTCTGTCCGTGGTGGGCGACGTGGCCATTTGAGACAATGATTGTTAGCCGTACGCATAAGCGCGCGTTGGTGGATTTGTCAGAGGCCGATAAGATGCTTCTTGCTGAGGCGATTGCTGAGACCACCCGCCGCTATGATAATCTCTTCGAGACGCACTTCCCTTACAGTATGGGTATTCACCAGGCTCCGCTCGATGGTACCGAGGAGGAGATTGAGGCATCTTACCTGCACTTGCACTTCTATCCTCCTCTGCTACGAAGCGCTACCGTACGCAAGTTCCTGGTTGGCTATGAGCTTATGGCAGAGCCTCAACGTGATATCACCCCCGAACAAGCTGCTGCTAAGCTGCGGGCTTGCGGTGGTGAGTTGTACAGGAAGAAAATTGATTCAACCGGGAATTAATACAAAACAAAGCGATGAAGCCCGGACAGGGTTATACCAGCATTGAAGACATTTCTTCCTATATGCATAAATATCATTTCCCCCGCAAAAGATTTTGTCTTGAAGCGTTTAATTGTACATAGTTTTGGTCCAACATGCAATGCTCAGTTCCGTCATGGTTATCTGTTCCATGTGTTGCACTGCGTCGAACTATTCCCTGGAACCATCCTCTCTCCCAGAATTGGGGATTTAACCTAGGTACGCCCCACGCTGGGTAAACATCCAAGCCAGCGAACCCGACGCAACAATCAAAGGATTCAAGAACCGGCCCTTGAGCGAGGCATTGCCGACAACGAGCTCGCCAACAAAGTGCGACAGCGCAATGCCGTATGTCCACATGCCAAGGTTGTACGCGACAGGATTCGTAATATTGTAAGCAGCGGTCATGCGAATGACTGCAGAGAGGAAGGTCCAGGTTCCGAAGACGCGGCCGGAGAGCGGAGTTGCGGGGACCTTGCCATTACTGTAGAGTAGGGAGGTATATTCCGGCGTAGTGTAGGCTTGCAGGCTGTTAAGAGCGGAGATGACCGAAACCTATACAGAGAGGTGGCTGATTAGTTCAGATTGGGGAATAGAGGCATTGGTAGCTAGGGGTTCGGAGTAGCAGTGGTAATGGGACTGGGTGGCTCAATACGGGCACAACTTACAAAGAATAGCCATTTGGGCAGAAAACCCTCGGCCTGGGGGAGATAGGCGAGATATTGATCCATTTTGAGGGAGTGTCTTGGTTTGAAAGGAGTTTGGGTTGTTTTTTCTTGAGACTGGACAGGCCGAGGATGTTTGGGGACTCTTGGCGTTGATCTTCCCCCAACAACCTCGGACGCCTCGCATCGGTTTACCCAACTTTTTTTTTTCTGCCAACCTCTTGTTATTCACGTTTATTTAACTCATTATGGATCTCTCACAGCATATTGAGTGTCTATCTCAATGGCCAGCCCATATTGCCCCAGGCTTACCTACCTATGGAGCGCTGTTCCTCCTGGCGACTGGTGGGCTTGTCATTGCCTGCAAGCTCTGGACGTTCATGCGGGTGCTTCTCAGCCTATTCGTGCTTCCGGGTAAACCGGTATGAAATTCAAGATTCAGGCCACTAACATTCAAGGGATGAAGCTGACTAGAATGATTGAATAGCTTCGCTCGTTCGGTCCCCCCGGTAGCTGGGCTGTGGTAACAGGCGCCTCGGACGGCCTGGGCAAGGAATTCGCGCTGCAATTAGCCAAGTCGAAATTCAACATTGTGCTTGTATCACGAACAGCCTCGAAGCTGGCAACCCTGTCTGAGGATATCAGCAAGCAGTTCCCGCAGGTGCAGACCAAGACACTCGCAATGGATTTCTCACGTAACGCCGATGCCGACTACCAGGCGCTGGGCGAACTGGTCTCCGATTTGGACGTGTCAGTGCTAGTCAATAACGTCGGCCTGAGTCACTCGATCCCCGTTCCCTTCGCGCAGACCCCCGCCGCAGAGATGGCCGATATTGTGACCATCAACTGTACCGGTACGCTGCGCGTCACACAGCTTGTCGTTCCAGGCATGATCCAGCGCCGCCGCGGTCTGGTTCTGACCATGGGTTCCTTCGGCGGTCTCCTACCCACCCCGTTCCTCGCCACTTACTCTGGCAGCAAGGCTTTCCTTCAGCATTGGTCTACAGCTCTTGGCGGCGAGTTGGCCCCTTACGGCATTGATGTGGAACTTGTCCAAGCCTACCTAATTACATCTGCCATGTCTAAGATCCGTCGTGCCTCGGCTTCTATCCCTACCCCGCGTGCTTTTGTTCGCTCCGTTCTCTCGAAGATCGGTCGCAGTGGTGGCTCGCCTACCTACGCTTACAGCTCGTCGCCCTACTGGAGTCACGGGATCATGGCTTGGTTCTTGACTTCTGTTTCTGGAACTATGGGCAAGCTTGTTCTTGGGCAGAACAAGTCTATGCACGAGAGCATTCGGAAGCGCGCTCTCCGCAAGGCTGAGCGTGAGAATGCTAAGAAGAGCACTTGATTCGCTCCTGCTGTTGTTGTGGAATACAGGGAATATACGATCTGAGTTATGCTTTTCTTGGGCGTGATCTATATATTATTCGAAATGGATGATGGATTTGAGTGGGTGTATAAAATACTAAATTGATAATCATGGCATTAATAGCAATAATATCATTTATACCTCGAGATTATCATATTCTGTGCCAAGAGTCCCATGGAGGTTTTATAGTTATATATATGTACGGTGGACATCCTGTCAACCCGAAATGGTCGAAATTTTATCGATAAGCTCTTATCACCCCGCTGCCAACCTTACCCACATATTGTAGGTAGAATCCCATGGAGCTTCTTCTCTCAGCCACCGCGGACAGACCACATGTATGATCTATAACATGTCTCAAATGACCCACGGCAGTGGCCTCGATGATGCCCCAAACACAACTTCCACAGAGTCAAAGATATCGATCTGTGAAAATCGCGTTCACCTCTTACTTGCTGCAACTGGCTCGGTCGCGACTATCAAAATAGCCAATATCATCAGCGCTCTTTCCCCTCATATCCACAAGCTCTCAATTAGAGTAATCCTCACCACCAAAGCCAAGAAATTCCTAGCCGGTCAGTCCGCCGAGCAGCCTACCGTCTCGTCCCTCATTTCCCTCCCTGGTGTGGAAGCCGTCTACGATGATGAGGCGGAGTGGGGGCCAGAGCCTTGGCGTCGCGGTATTGATATCTTGCACATCTCTCTTCGACGATGGGCAGATATCCTCGTCATTGCTCCTCTTTCTGCAAACACCCTAGCTAAGCTCGCCAACGGACTTAGCGATAACCTATTGACCTCTGTATGTCGGGCCTGGGATACCGATGGTCAGGTTGACGGGAAACGAAAACGGATTGTAGTTGCACCGGCCATGAATACGGCTATGTGGCGGCACCCAGTGACAGCCCAGCATATCCGGGTGCTAGAGGAGCAATGGGGGGTTGGAAAAGACGAGAAAAAGACAGAGTTAGGTTGGTTTGAAGTCCTACAGCCGCAGTTGTCCAAGGTGTTGGCTTGTGGGGACGTGGGCAGTGGCGCTATGTTGGAATGGACCGAGATAGTCAAGGTCATCGAAGATAGGCTAGGGCTGAGTGATTTAGAATAGTTAGGACCTGTCCTTGCCCATTTCTCCTGGCCTTCAAATTACCCTATCCTGCTCCCGGTGACATATTCTAGCTGACTCTGTGGTGACATTTTCAAATCATCCTTTTTGGGGTCTTGCACAGTATCTTTTACAATCTCCTGTCTTCCGCCATTTTACGTATTTTCTTTCATCTAACATTCAAAATGATAAAATGGCGAAAAGCGCTCTATTGAAAGAGCTAGACGAGTTCAAAGTTCTGGTCGTGATTGTCCCAAACAACAGCCGTACAGACCTTTCCTTGCGCCTTGCATGAGGGAAATGAGGCCCAAATACCTGCCGCACCGCACTATTCTTTTATGATTTGAACATGGATTAAGATAAGGGTGAGAACAAGGAATAATAAACGAAATAGAATCAATCAGAAACTCTACGTTCTATAAACCTAGCAGTCTGTTCAGTTGCAAAATAAAGGTCGAGGTATCTCGGCCAAAGAGATCTAAAACAATACATCCATATTCTACGATCAATCATGAGCCATGGCAAGGTCCCTTTCTCCAATTATTCTGCCCAGTGCATATGCACTGAAATGCATTACCCGACTAGTCATTGAAAGAGACACCTGAACCAAGAGCTCCAAGCAATAGACTGTCTGTCCGGCGATGGTTTGGTGAGGAAACTGCGCAAGGGTAAGATGATCGAAATGACACTCAATATAACCGATACATCACATATCTATATTGAACCGTTCTCAGCATTTCTGATCACTCAATTGAGGCTTTAAGCACGAAATCGTGGGAACTATAGACGTACCGGTGTTTTCAAATCGTTGTGGTGCAACTGGGAGATTGGACTCATAAATATCCACAGCTTTGACAAGAAGATCATGCTCCCAATGAAATATCTTAACTGTACAGGATGACTGGAAATCCTTTAGGTATCTCCGGTCCTTTTCTTTTTTTTGAGAATTCATCCGTTAGATAATGCTCAGGTAGTGGATATTCATATACTACACACCTTGTGTAACACCCAATGGGGGAGCAAATTCACAGGTAGTGTGCTAGGCCCATATCCAAGGCCCTGCGACTCATTTAGGTGGGAGAAAACTAAAGGTTGAACCGATGCTAGACCGTAATCTCGCGGGCACTTGCAGGTTGGAAGAGAGTAACCCCGAGTGCCTTGAAGTGCTGCCCCACGAACAATCGCCTCTCCCCTATGATATGTATATTAGATTTCTCCCTAATATCGTAGCATCCAAGGAGGGATTTTACTCACGGTGCCTTAGGAATAAGCACAGAGATATTGCCAATCTGTTTTAGGGCTTGTTATAGTCTTTCCTGGAGATATGGCGAGGCGCTGAATCCACCAACTAAAACGACTTTCTATAGAAGAAAGATGCCAATATTAATTCCACATATAGCACACAAAGTAAGGATACAAGGTACTCACATTGATGAACTAGGGCCTAAATTGCTCATTTGCAGCTGTGATCTGAGATAGAATGAGAGTGAAAATCGTTTCGAGCACAGGCTCAAATAAGCCTCGGAGATCTTGAGATTGAAGAAAAACACGTCGTTGTTTAGAAAACGTGGGATCGGTCCCGGGTACATTGAAGTGGAAATCAAAGTGCCAACTGTGCTCTACTTTGCCATCGAACGCCCTTTTGATCCTTTCAAATTTCTCCATGACCAAGCTTCCTGGTTGGATCTGGCTCGTGGGTAGTAGGGTATTGAACCCACCCTCAAGCCTACTAGACACAAGTTTATAGAGTCGACTGTCAATAGCAGTTCTACCATATCTAGCTCCTATTGCCTATTAGTGTCAAGATCGTGTCAATGATATCTTTTGTATATCATACCCATAGCTGTGGTGATCTGCTCAATAGAGGTTGTCGGAACAACATCTGTGACATGGTATGTTGCAATGTCCTAATTATAATTTGAGATTATAAGGTGTTAACGGTATAATAGGGTATCTCTTACCACCGTGCCACCTCCACAGTCACAGATCAGGACCCCATCATGAGGCTAGTGGTTCAGAGATTAAAACGTTTAGTTAAATAAAGTTAAGGTACTCAGTTCGGCATTTTGACTTACCTGGAGGTTGAAACTTCTGTCACCGAAAACAGCAAGAGCTGCAGCCTCAGGTTCCGTTGCAGTCTACACGCCGTGTAGAGGGCTTATTCCGAAGCCTGCACTTTTGATTGCTTCGCGCATTAGGAGCTGTGTCTCTTCGGATCAGCTAGCTAGGATCGTGAACCAGAAATCGATCGGTACTCCACTTAGATCCCCTCCGTGACTGTGAAGATGATCGACAGCCTCGAAGCTATGGTGATAGTGAGTGGCTGCCTGAGGGATGCTTCCAAGGTTGCTCCTCCCCGGTTTGTCAGGATCTGCTGCCTGTTAGATAGATTTCTCTCTCTTCCACAGTCATCTATCAGACATCTTTTCTCCCGTGAGCTTCGCCATCAAATGAGTTCTGGTGTCACTAAAAGAGGACTTTCTGGAGGTAGCTGACGAGGGTTTGATTTTTTGTGGGTGGGAGATGGAAGGCAGCAGGGTCAGTCGCATCAAGGACACCCGTTGTAATATGGCTCATCAAGACTTTGAACTTGCCAATTCTTCAATTGTTCTCTTATATGTAAAATGTTTCATGTTCCTAACCTAATTTACGTTGAATATACTATGGGTCTTGGATGCTGAACTTGTGTCTCATCAAACGAATATCAAATAATGATTCAATGTATGTGAAAGAATGAGGCTATCTCAGAAATATTCATCAAATTGACATCCGTTTTCGCTGGCTTACTACTCCCTTCTGCCCCATTTCCCTAATCTTTCTTCACTCTGAAGCTACAAGGAGTAAAACTACATCAAGCTAGTTCATCATCAATCCTTCTCTCGAGCTAGACGCAACGACACCCAGAGAGGCTTCTTGAACCAAACCCCCCAGATCTTCTGGTCCAGCCACTCGCCCTTTCCCATGCAGCTTTGGTGCAATTCCAGATCGAAGGTCCACAGGAGATTGGCCATGATTAGTCGGATCTCCGCGCGCGCGAGATTGCGCCCAAGACAGTTGCGTGTGCCCATGCTCCATGGTTGGTAGACGGCCTTTTTGTCGTCACGGAACTCGGCCGGGGCGTCGTCAAGCCAGCGCTCGGGGCAGAATTCCCGCTCGCGGTGGAAGTTCTTCGGATCCAGACAGGCACCCATCATGGAGATGCCGACGCTGGTCTAGTTTCCCCCCCTCACAGTCAGCAATAGAGTAATGATCATGCGAGAACATAGTGGAATGAGGGGTGAAGGAAGGATGGCTGGGGAGGTAAACTCACATTCTCTGGGATCCATTGCCCGCACACCGTAGCCCCGCCCTGGGGCGGGACTCGCTGGCTATGTGTCGGCACCGGGGGGTAAAGTCGCAGGGTCTCTTGAAAGACGGCGTTGAGGTACGGCAAGTGCCCGATGGAGACTATGGTGATCTCGTCGCGCGCGGCGAAAGCGGCGCGGATCTCGGCGACAAGGCGACGATACGTGGCGGGGTAGCGGAGCAGGAAGTATGTCATGCCACAGAGGGTGGTGGCGCTGGTCTCGGAGCCCGCAAGCACGAGGATGCTGGCATTATTGAGCATCTCGCCGCGTGTCATCCCCTCGCCGGAGCGGTTGTCGTCCGCGCTTTTGATCACCACCCTGTCCCAAAAGTCGCCGCGCGGCGCCGCTTCCTTTTTGGTTCCAGTCATAGTCGTCGTGCCGCGCTCGCCTTGCGCCAGGCGCTGGGTCACCTTGGCCTCAGAGAACCGGTAATTGGCTGCACGCTGCTCACGCACCGTACGAGAAATGAACAGCGGGATCAGCGACCCCAGCCCGTACTCCAGAAGCGGACTGGACTACATCGCGAACTTGACTGTCGACGCGATCGCCGGAATCCACTCATGCAGCTTCCCATCGCGTAACGAGTGGAAGGACTCCCCCCATGCCAGGTCACCAATCACGTCGAAAACCATCATGTTGTACCACTGCGTGAAGTCCACAGCCCCGTTGCCGGTGGTTGCTACCACTGTGAGGCGTTGGAGGAGCAGCTCGAGATGCCGGTTAATCAGTGGTTCTTGGTCGCGTAGACCTCGTTCGGAGAAGGCCCCCGCTCGGTAGCGGCCGAGAAGGTAGTGGCAGAGATTCAGAGCCTAGGATCGGCGGCGATCGCAATCCAGGCGGACGTCCGGGACGTATCGCAGACGGTGCGCCTGATGGACGAGGCGGTAGCGCACTTCGGCGGACTGGACATTGTGTGCAGCAACGCGGGGGTCGTCAGCTTCGGTCACCTAGGCGAGGTCACTGAAGGGGAGTTCGACCGCGTCTTCAGCGTCAACACGCGCGGTCAGTTCTTCGTCGCCCGCGAAGCCTACCGCCACCTAAATGAGGGCGGTCGCATTATCCTCATGTCCTCCAACACCGCCCGCGACTTCAGTGTCCCTAAACATGCTCTCTACTCTGGCTCTAAGGCGGCGATCGACTCCTTCGTGCGCGTCTTTTCCAAGGATTGCGGCGATAAGAAGATCACCGTCAACGCGGTAGCCCCCGGCGGCACGGTAACCGACATGTTCCACGAGGTCTCCCACCACTACATCCCCAATGGCGAGAATTATACCGCCGAGGAGCGGCAACAGGTACGTACAGTCAACCAGGTCCATCCTAACCATGACTCTTCTCGGGCTGATATTGATTTGTTCCCAGATGGCCGCTCATGCTTCACCCTTGGTGCGCAACGGGTATCCCTTGGACATTGCGCGGGTGGTGTGCTTCCTGGCTAGCAAGGAGGGCGAATGGATCAATGGAAAGTCTCTAACTGTTGATGGAGGGGCGGCCTAAAGAGGGAACTCTGCGCAATCCTCACTGGAAACAATTTTAGATCAGCTTCGTTGCGTTTCCAATTCAAAAATCTCTTTTTCTTTATTTCTTCTCCAGCGATATAGATAGAAGAGAACCCGGCCGCTGTGCCCCCGTTCTCCTGCTTCGCCTCCGCTGCAGTGCAACAGGAGACCTCTGAGGCCGCCACGAGCTTTTGGCAGGCCCGATTCGAGTCCTTCAAAGGCACGGTCTTTCCCCAGCTGCCCCTAGACCATCCAGAGTGTCGTGCTTCTCAATCACTCACCTTCAACGTTTCCATGTCGACGCGACGATCTGCGATCACACAAGCCACGACAATCCAGTATGCCCTGGCGCTGCTTATTTCCAAGCTCCGCGGCGAGTCGGATGTGATTTTCGGCACCACCGTTCATGGACGCACCGTAGCCGGTTGCCCGGATGCAGAGGCTGTGGTGGGACCGGCAACTCATATCGGACCATGAGCACTATGGTCTACAAAACATTAAGTCACTGGGGCCCGGGGCGGCGGCCGCTGCCTCCTTCACCACTCTTTTGATCATCCATCCTGAGATGGGCGGAGATGCGACTGACCATCCCAACAAAATTCGGGAGATCGAGATAGGAGCCGCAGATGCCTATGTGGACTACCTGCTGGTCGTCGAGTGCTTTCCACAAGCCCAAAACTTGAGCATCAAGCTCCTGTATGACCCGGCCGTCTTCTCTACGTGGGAAATGCAGATGATGGCTGAGCAATTTGAGCAATCGCTCCACGCCCTACACACCACTGAATATCCCGCGGCGGTGGTCCGAGACCTAAGTCTCCTCTGTGCTGCCAGCGTGCCCGCAGTCCTCGAGATGAGCCGTGGCGAGCTGATCGACCGCCGGGAGTGCCTCCACGAGCGGATCTTTGCCAAAGCGCACTCATGGCCAGACGCCGAGGCCATCTACAGATGGGACGCCCGATACACCTACGAGGAATTGGGGAGCCTGGTCAAACGGCTGGCGGCGCGTCTTGCGCCGTTGCTTCCCGCGAAGGCCGGTCAGATTGTCCCCATCTGCTATCCTAAGTCCGCTGCAGCCGTGGTCGCCATGCTGGCCACCCTGACAGCGGGCCATGCGTTCCTGCTGCTGAAACCCGCCCTGCCGCCACAACGCATTCGATATATGATCGAGGCGGCCAAGGCGGATCGTGTCCTCTGTGCGTCGGCGACCCGCTACGTGGTGGAGGACATGGGGACGCAGGTGGTGAACTTCCAAAGTCTATGGGATCATCCCGCCGTTGCGCCGGATATGGGTTTCTTCGAGGTTCAGCCGTTGCCGGACTCCCCAGCCTACTGTATCTTCACCTCCGGGTCGACCGGGGATCCCAAGGGGGTGCTCCTCCTGCACCGACAGGTCACCAGCGGGCTCGAAGCCCAGGTCGCGGCAGGCCTGTACGAGCGCCAGGCCCGGCTGCTGCAATTCGCCAGCTTTAGCTTTGACACGTGCATTGCCGATATTTTTGGGACTCTTCTCAGTGGTGGGTGCATCTGCATGCCAAAAGATGAGGATCGCCTGCTGCGGATCGCCGAGAACATCAACGAATTCGACACCACGACCGTCGACCTAACCCCGTCTGTCGCTCGGCTGCTTCCCCCGGACGAGGTTCCCCGGCTGCAGGTGCTTCGCCTGGGCGGCGAGGCGATGCACCAGTACCACATCCAGACTTGGGCAGATCGTTGCAACCTTCAAAACACCTACGGTCCTACAGAATGCTGCGTGCAGTGCACCTTTGTCGACCGCGGGCCCCGCTCCATGGCTCCGGCCGTCATCGGCAAAAGTATCGGATGTCACCTCCGGGTTATCGACCCGCAGAATTATAAGTATCTCATGCCGCTGGGCGCGGTGGGCGAACTGGCGATCCAGGGCCCCGCCGTGGCCAATGGCTATATCAATAACACGGCCAAGACGGAGGCTTTATTCCTCCTCCGCGCCCCGTGGCTCGAGACCTACGATGTCAACTGCCCCTACCCAGTCTACCTGACGGGCGACTTGGTTCGATTCAACGAGCAGGGTGACTTGATCTTTCTCGGCCGCCGGGATAGCCAGATCAAGATCCGGGGCCAGCGTGTCGAGCTGGAGGAGATCGAGCACGTCCTGCAGCAAGATAAGAGGACAGACCAGGCCCTTGTTTGCTACCCCACAACAGGAGTGCTCGCCTTGCAGCTGGTTGCTATCCTCGAGCCGTCCGCCCCCGCGGTCGGGTTGCGCGCGCGCGGCCAGACGACAGCCTGGATGGAGCCAATCGCCCACAAGGCCGCCAAGTTCCTACCGCGACACATGGTGCCCGCCGTATTCTTGGTGGCCTACCAGGGCTTGCTGATGTCGTCCGGCAAGCTGGACCGGCGCAGTGTCCAAACATGGCTGGAGCAGCTGTCGGTTGATGAGTTCGAGGTCTTGCCTGCATACTACCACGCCTCAGGGGAGGCACGAGACTCGTCCTCGACCGAAGCGGTGGCTGCGGCGGCGGCGGATCTCCCTAAGGCACTCACAGCGCCAATTGTCGAACAGGTCCAATCCCTCCTCGCGTGGCGATCATCTACCAACCTTCCGTCCGCCACCGGCTTTTCCCTTCTCCATTCCTTCTCCCGCATCGCTGGATTCCATCACCATAATCCCCTTTCTGCGATGGATTAACCAGAACTACTCTATCCGCTTGGAAATGACCACTCTCCTGCAGCTGGAGACCGTGCAAGGACTCGTCTCCCATTTGCAGAGCCACCAGGGCGGACTGTCGACCAAGACGGAGCGCAGCGACGAGAAGAATGAGGATCAAGAGACCTTCGAAACCCTGATCCACCAAGGTGTCGACCAGCTTTGCCAGGAACAGCCCATCATCTCCCAACGCGAGCTGTCCGAAAAGTCCGCTCTGACCCGGCTGGTGCGGAAGCTCGCCGTCCCGCAGATGGCCCTGGTACGACGCTGTATCAATGCGGCGGCCGGCCATCGTGCCCTACCCCGCCGGCTGAATATCCGGAGCTTGCGGTCTAAGCCCTGCCGCATCCTCCTAACGGGGGGCACCAGTCTCGTCGGGCTAAACATCCTGACCTCCCTCCTCAAGCAGTTCCCCCGGACGCGCATCGCGGTCTTGGTGCGCTGCAACACAGCGGTGGATGGCAAGGCCCGGCTCATCGAGCGCGCCAGCCTCCTGCCCCCGTGGCGCAGTGACTTTGCGCCCCGCGTCGAGGTCTGGCCTGGAGATCTGGGTCCCGCACGGCTAGGGCTCTCGCCGGCGCAGTGGGAGTCGCAGCTGGGCGGGCGCGGTGGAAACCCGGCCCACTACGTGCACGCCTGATCCTCAGAATTCAATTCATGTTGATCTCTGGTCTGGTCCTCAGAGTAATTTAGCCTCTACATATTCGTGTATTAGTTATATGCTAGACTCCTTGCACACTTTTCTCTCCTATTTGGCAAGGTCCACACACCCGTTAAACCCAGCGTCTTGCTTTGTCGCAAACTTCACCATACTTCCATTCCTGATTAGATTGCTGTTCGACTTGAAGACTTCAAGGGAGATATTCTTTTGACACGAGATTTATCCGAGAATACACGTTAGCTCGTTAGGGTATGCGGGCTATTTAGGTGAAGAATATCGGGAAGCCAATCAACAGTGAAGCCGGCGATCCGAACCAAGTAGAAGTAAAAGTGATAAAAGGTGAATGTCCATACCGATATGTCAGCTGTTTTCATTAATACTTGAGTCATATTGCCTTTACGGCCATGTCCGTATGTCTGGTTTGGCGACTAGAGCCGGCTAGTCCTAGCAGCCGGTGCCACCGATCTCTTGTGTATCTAACCGCCGATAAAAGGGCTAAGCAGAGCTTAATTGACTACTCCGTACATTTAGAGCTCAAATCTTTCATAATCTGACTAGTTTAGATGCCGCTCTATATTAGATCTCGAATATCTTCTGGGTGTGGCCTCTCTTATAGAGTCCAAAGTCATCAGGTCAAGGACAAGGTCTGGAAAACTTTATCAGCCTGAACTTGCCGAAAGCACCTAGGTTGATATCGCATGACTGAAATTTCCCTTCTTCCATGAGCAGCTCGCCAGATTAAATATAAATGCCCCAATAGACCAACCTCGGGAGGTAAGAAACGACGAACATACAGGGAGCAGAGAGACCTCATAGCCGCAAAGAAAGATGTGGCTCCCTTATGTAGCCATTAATTGATCGTTCTTTCATCCAATTATCCGATATGGTGTAGTGGCTAACATCGCCGTCTCTCACACGGCAGCCGGGGGTTCGATTCCCCCTATCGGAGTTCTTTTTTGTCTTTTCATTCGAGTTAATTTTACAAAAATAGTCGGCCGCATGTGCGGCCTTGCAATTTTTTTTCCAGCTGGTCTATTTAGATGTCTTTTAAGACGTTTGCGAAGGTGGTAAAAAAAAGCTTACTTTGTTGCAACTTTTCTATGTATAACCAGGGATAATCTGGAGTGGATAGGCCAGTACAGAGTACAGGGACTGTTTTTTTTTAGGTAATAAACAGTTACAAAGGAGAACGATTTTGTAACGCGCAAGGTCCTGTATTTGTCTAGCTCGACCGGACTATATCCTCAGAACTTACATCTTTAGGCTATTGTACTGGTAGAACAATGTCACGGCCTTGGTATCCTCTCATTTTTCTGCTTGATCGTAGATCTAGGTGATGGAACTGAATGTGAAGTACTATCAAGTCCAATAACCAGTTCACCCCAGTGATCAGAGATTTGATTCGTTCAGGGGCCCTGTTTGTTCGAATATCAACTTGCTGTCAATCAAGACAAATTCTTGCTCGACACTGAGTTCAACAACTCAAACTCAACAGCACCATCACAGATAGACAAATATCCAATAACATGTTGCTCGGGTGAACTAAACCAGAACGCCGAGTCTGCCTTCGACCCTGCAACCCATCTCACATCATACTTTCCGCTCTCGCTCCTCTGAATAGGAACCCGGGCAATCAATGGATGATCATTTGGGGACCACCATCGAATAGCAGGCAATGTATTCGTGATAGTGTTAATCAAGAGTTGTGGTGTTGAAGGATGCCAAACAATTTGTCGAACACTTTGCTCGTGAACTAGAGCTGATACAAGTGTCGGAGTGCCCTCTAGTGACCAAATCCAAACGACATTCTGCCGTGCTGTGTCAACAGTCGCAAGGAGGCAACCGTCTGGGCTAAAAGCCATTGTCAAGACGCCTCGTGGTGGCCCTGCCGACTCGGGGCTCATGCTCAATGCAGATGAGCAGGATGCCTCGGCATATTCGGCGTCACCTGTGGCAGTGGTGTAACGCTCGCGCCAAATATTAGAACATTCCTGGTCTGTTTGGAACACATGTGAGAGTGTTGTTGCGGAAGAGAACTGCCACAATAAGATTAGCAGATAATGCCGGACATTTTTAGAAGAATACTCACTGTGCGAGTTCGGAGCAAGTCAACATTCCCGTTAACCTTTCCCACGGCCAATATTTCAGAAATAGCCTGGTGGGAGACAGGGCCCCATTCAATCTGTTTCACACCGAGATCGAAGGAATCATCCACCCCAGATGGTCCAGAATAGGTCCTGAAAAGTTGACCGTCCGCTGTTAATACTAGTACCTTTGTACCTGCACTAGCAATATCCCAGATGGCAATCCATTTCCCATCTGGACTCCACTTCAACCCTTGTGCATCAATGGTTGGAAGCACAGTCCTGTTGACGAGATCGTAAGACCGGGGCTCGTGGACGGTTAGTAGATCCGAAGTGTCCGGTTTTAGCAGAATAGCGAGTTGTCTGGTTTTTGGGCGATACCCAAAGCCGAGATGATGGGCAAACTTGGGTGTTTTAATGACTGAGCTGCGTCCGGTCTCTAATGAGTGCACACTGAGTTTAGTGTTCCACGCATGAAACACAAGAACTTCATTCTCGTCGGCACCAAATTCGGCAGTCAATGCCCCCGGTTCGACGCTTTCGATGCCGGCGAACATTTCAAGCGGAGTGAGCTGCCAGACCGAGATTCGGCTGTCGCTTGCGGATAGGAGTCGTCGCCGAGAGGCAATCTCCTCATCTGGTGCACCAGGAGAACTTTCCACATTGAAGTATTTGAGTGATTTGAGTGGAGTCTCTTTGATCCTTGCGATCTGTACTTCCTTGTTTTCTGAAGCTACATTTGAGTGGACAACCAGGCCCTTGCCACTCACGTGGGCGGCATATAGCCCATCTTCAGACAAGCAAAGATTTAAAGTGGCTAGCATACAGTTAGGGTTGATAAACAACGGTTTATGTGTACTGCGGACTTACCTCCTGGTCCCGTTGACGCGTCCATTGTTGATAGTCGAGAGATAATTGCAGTGAGCGTTCAAGAACAATGCCAAGTTCCGGATATTAACACATCAGCTTCACAATATCAGTACCTTCTTAATGTGTTATTGCATATATGCGTTAGAATTTTTTTTTCCTTTTTCTGTTTCGAGTCCCAATTCTCAGTGAAGGATTCTGGGACTTACTTGGTTTACCCAGCACCGGGGCATTCTATATCAGATTATGTAATCGACACGTGAAATGGATAACTAACTAGATCCAGCTTGGAAAATGTCACCTTGGCAATTAAGATTGAAGGTCGATCTTGAATCAAGTCGGTCTTGAATTGTATGAAGGAAAAGGGATATGGTAAGGTTACCTCAGAAACATCAGAAGCAAATTCAATTTCTTCAGTGAACACCACAAGATCAACGACAACGCGTTCGCAGCTTCCAATCTCCAATCTCCCCCACGATAAGATAAGCCGGGAAATCGTAATTCCGGCTGAGATACGGTGCTTTTCGCAAAAGTTGTTTCTCCATTTTGCGATGCGACTAGAGGCGATCATTGACCATAACCACGTTTGGTTCTTCCAGGTTTCAACATAGGTATCTTCAAGCCTTTCAGCCCTTTGGTGGGCCGATTTTCTCGACACTTTTCCCACTCCTATCTCTCAAAAATGGCCTCCGAAACAAGCCCACCAAAGAGCATTGAGCAGACCTCCGCGGCTGCGCCTCAGCCTAAGGAGAAGCTCTTTGGAAGGAAGTTTTATGAAAGCATTGGCAGCCCAAAATATGTCGTTGCTCCGATGGTCGACAGATCAGAATTCGTGAGTTCACTAGCCAAGTAATAGCGTCTACAGGCCAACGTTAATGTTTTCCAAAGGCGTGGCGCATGCTCACTCGATCCTTCATGCCACCAAACGACCCGAAGCCTTTACTCGCATACACCCCAATGTTCCACGCACGTTTGTTCGGCGAACAAGAAAACGTCCGTGCCAAACATTTCCAGCCTACCCGTAAAGCCGTCGGAGAGAAGAAGGATGAATTATTCCTTGATGGAAATCCCGCAATTGACCGACCACTTTTCGTTCAATTTTGCACGAATAACCCAGATGAGTTCTTGGAGGCTGCCCGCCATGTTGCACCTCACTGCGACGCCGTGGACTTGAATCTTGGCTGCCCGCAAGGTATCGCTAAAAAGGGACACTACGGAGCTTTCCTCCAAGAAGACTGGGACTTGATCTATAAACTTGTACATCGATTGCACACCGAGCTCTCGATCCCTGTCACGGTGAAATTCCGTATTCAGGAGACTAAGGAGAAGACTTTGGAGTACGCTAAAATGATCCTCTCCGCTGGGGCCAGCATCATCACAGTGCATGGACGCAGACGGGAACAGAAAGGTCACAACACTGGTGTTGCAGACTGGGGCTACATCCGCTATCTACGAGATAATCTACCTGCGGATACGGTGATTTTTGCCAATGGCAACATTCTTAACTACGGTGACGTCGAAACCTGTTTCGAGGCGACCGGGGCCGACGCCGTGATGAGCGCAGAAGGAAATTTATCAGACCCATCCATATTCAGCAAGCCGCCTCCGGCCGGTACCGAAGGAAGAGAATACTGGCGCGGTCGGGATGGAAAGGGCGGCTACCGAATCGATGCCGTCCTGCGACGATACCTTGATATTATCTATAAATACGTTCTCGAACAGCCGGTTCCAGAAAGGAAGCCGCTTTATCTCCCATCCGACCCCGTTGATGAGTTTGCAGAAACCAATGATGCCGACGATAACAGCCACGAGGACGGCCCGCTCAAGAAAAAGCAAAAGCGTAGCAAGGCCGAGAAGGGCAAGAAGTGTCACTCTGCCAGCCTCGGTTTCATGCAGGGCCATCTCTTCCAAGTCTTGCGACCAATGATTGCAACTCATACCAACGTTCGAGATGCTCTTGCAACATCGAAGCCAGGCGACATGGCTGCTTTTGAGCACACACTGGTACTCCTTGAAGAGGCCATCAAAGGCGGACTTCAGGAGTACGAGACCTCTCCCGAAAAGTTTGAAGCACAACCAGATGAGAGTTTGAAGGGATCTAAAGCAGTAATTGCGGAATATGGAAGGCCTTGGTGGATCTGCCAGCCTCATGTTCGTCCGCTGCCCGAAGAAGCATTTGAAAGTGGAGCGATGCGTGAAAAGGGCACAAAGCCTCCGGCCAAGAATGAGAACGAAGAAAAGAACACGCTCAAAGAGACTGACACTCCTTCCGAGGGCACTGTCACGCCAGGGGATGGTGCTGCTATAACTGCCACCAAGCTTACGCCCGATCCTCTCGTGAGTGGATAAGGATGTGAATATTCGATGCAGTAGTCTTTCTGTTTCTCCCCTTACCTGCAGATATCATTGACTGGTGTAACTATATAGAAAGTTCCAACGTTAGATCCAGAGCCTTGTTTGCATAGCGTTGTTATTATCTTTACCAAAAATTCACATAGACATCTTTCAGGAAAAGCGAAATTATTACTGGTAATGAATGGAAAATTGCATTCAATCCTATTTCTTTAAGAAGCCGATAAACAAAAGAAAGGAAAACCCCAGGTCGCTTAGGGAGATGCAGCAGTGGCCATCGCGACGCAAGCCTCAAAGCGAGCCCCAAAGCAAGATGCAAAAGATTTCCAGAGCCCAGCAGTCCAAGATTCCTCCGCATGTATCCATTTGTTTGACAACCTATCAGATTGCAAGTCGCTCCACCTTGGCTTTAAGCCACTCGATCTGTGGAGCCAGGTCACTAGCATCGTTCGAGTTGATGGTGACGGCGATAATTGGCCGGGCCACACCACATGCTCGACCGATCGCAATCTTATTCGGCAAAAACACGTATGGGACGTTCTTGTCTTCGCAAAGTAATGGAAGATGCATCACGATCGCGAGAGGAACAGTGTCAGCAGCGAGAACGACGAGCTCGGAGGTGCCTCGGGTCACGGCCTTTGTGACTAGACCAACATTAGTTCCGTAGTTGACTTCAAGTATTATCAGCAGACACACCTTCATTTGCGCCTTTCTTGACCTGATTGTAGTGAATGGCTTGTTGCAACAAATCCAAGAGTTCCTGTGTCAACGCAGGATCCGCGTTCGGCCACGCTGGGGATTGTGTTGGATTAGAGAATCGAAATGACAAATGTGACACAGACTTACCGGCACATTGAGAAGGTTGCATTTTGCTCTTTCAAACGGGTTGCGATAGTTTCACTTCAGAATGGGCAGTGTGTGAGAGAAAGGTTAATCTCGTTGGAGATATTAGCAGGGTTGAGAACAGTGGAGAAGATGAGTGCAGAATAAGCTGGTAGAGCAACGGCATGAAACCTGTGAAAGAGAAGAGATGGAAGGCGATAAATGGCAAGAGGGAGAGGACCCATGCATTCAAATATCATTCCTATATGTAAGACCTGTGCCATTCTATGCTATTCGTGTGAGCACTTTCCTTTATATATCTGTCAGCTCAAAAGCATATATTACGTGCTGCTCCATTCTCTATTAAGGGTAATGAATATCTATGACTATAGAGGATACCTCACATGTCCCAGAAAATGTCGATATTGCAGTTGAACTGAACATTCCTAATGACACAATCCGCCACTGGACATCGTGAACCTAATACTGCAATGGATAAATACAATAGTGAAGTAAATATGTATCCGTCAACAAAAGAGAGAAAGAAAAAGGTGCAGTTGATGCAGCGTACCGAAAGACAACCCATCTTGAATATCTGATTGGCATTCTCTGCCTCACGCCCACTCAGATACAAATATTAAGGCTCCATTCGCACACATAGCAATTACTGTGTATCCGACATGTGGCCGATGCAAAGCAGCGTGGGTGGGAGCAGCTATTTGATAGTTCAGATTCTGCTTGCTCCCCATTTCCGGGTGCAATAACCTCGCTGACTTTATTATCAAGCTCTGGAAGGAGACCGTACAGCCGCATTGCTTCCTCGCTTGAGGCATCCAGTTCTGCACACACGGAATCCGAGGCAACAGCTAGCACAGTGCCGTCATGATTGATTATATACCAGCCACCATTCCTAACGTCAACTGTGCTCATGGGGTATTGTTCAACCATTTCATTGAGTTCTCGGCGAGTTTCTAGCACGACCATTGATTCGGGGATCGGTATGACGTATCGGGTTGCCGAAGTTGCCAAAGTACTTGAAATGAGCAAGTAGCTTGTTAGTGATATCATAGAGAACGATCTGTTGAGTGTGAATCACGCGTGTATAGTACAATAGGACGTATGTCTGAGAGTGGGGGATCTCGGAAGTGGACAATTTCCAGGCTTACGGGTGAGCCAGGGGTCTCACACGTTCTTCATGTTGTACATATGTATGTACCTACCTAGGTAACCATAGGTATAGTTTAGAAAAATCGATCGAAGAGAAGCAAATACTAGTCTGGTTTAATAGAATTTTGTGTTCGGAGGCAAACCCTGTTGTTGATCCTCATGCTAGCAACTTATATCAGTCTCTATGATTACAAGGACGTAGAGATAATGGAGATGGGGAACCTACTAGCATTTCTCCAAAGCTAGCAAGCAGCTTAGCTTCATGCTCACACTCCAACTTCCCTTTCTGTCCCATCGAATCTTGTGTCTCAAAGGACATTGCAACATCAAAATCTATCCATACCACCCGCTCTGGTTCACTGGGTACAATAACGATCCTTTTTTTGGATAAACATCGTGATGAGTTATAACGAGAAATTGCAATGGATAGCCACGGATCTAAGACTATACATGTTAAAAACCAGGTACATATAGGTATGGGTTCCCTGGTAGTAATATCAAATTCCCGTACGGAGTACTAATCTGCTAAATACCATCCATTTGACTCATGGTCACAAACGAGAGTGAATAGATCGAATTTTCCCGACCGATTAATCAAATTCATCACTAGTCTTTCTGAAACCAAAAGCAATCGGTTAGAATAAAGCGGTGGCTTGCTAGTCCCTATTGTAGGATTCACACCCAAGAGCCTAACCACGTAGGCAATGTCCTGAGCTTTGGACTCGGTCCAATTGCCCGCGTGCTCTCTGCAACAGCATGAACCAATGCAGTTGCATAGCCTTGGCGACTAGCATCCCCAGATGACTCCGATCTGAGACTATATTCTTCCGATAAGACTCGATGAACCTCCCATCTTGCATCCTCTTGTTCCTCCGGGGATTCAACAATGTCTTCCTTCTCAAGCTCCCATCCTGACTTTTGCGCTAGCGCACAAATCATCTGTGGGGATATAATTGATTGAATGTTATCGTCCCTGTCTAAGGCGTTGGCTCTAGAGTTGAATTCGGCTTGGGAGATTGCCGCGAGCAGGTGCGGCAGAACAGCAATATTGCCGCGGATATCGAGGGAGTACTCTGCAATGAGGAGGTGTTTCGTTCTTCCGCGGAGAGCCGCTAGCATTGGCAGCAACACGTCGGCAGATGGCAGGTACCACACTGAATGCACAAACATAGCATAGTCATAAACTTGCTCTGAAGCGCTGGAATCGAGGAACTCTCCAAGGTTTGATTGATAGAATGTCATTCGGTCGCCGATGGGACTCTGTTTGAGTTTGTCTTGTGCTTCTCCTAGAGTCATAGGTGCCCCTAGTGGGATTATCAGTCCGACTCTTATGTGATTGGTTTGAATCAAAACAAACCGTAGTCCACCGGCGCCGGGTCAATTGCTGTGACATGGCCCTGGTCCCCCACCATATAGGCTGTCACCAGGGTGCAATCTCCTTGTCCGCAGCCAATTTCGAGGATCTTTGAGCCTAGAGGGAAATTCCATTTGTTCAAAATATCGATCCTATGTTGGATTTGATGTACGGATGACCCGCCATTGGAAAGCTGTGCGATATTGATCACGTCGGTAGACATTGCTGCTGGTTGCTGTGAAAATTTGATACGATCAGCGGTTATATATGATCACCTACTTCACCTAGTTTAATACTACCTTCTACTTCAATACCACCTTCTACTGGGATCCCAAGAATAAATGAGTCACATTTCAAAATCAAGGGTCCCTGCATTACTAATAAACAAGTCACATCTAACAGAAGTACATATTAGTCCATTAGTCCATTATTTTATACGAGCACAACTGAGTCAGATATAGTGAGCTAATGCAGATTATCGAGCTCCATGCCAGATTTGTCTTAGTGCCGGAATAAGCCCGGGGACAACCCGATGTGTTTCCTGTATTCTTCCCAGTTTCATCGCGTAAATTGATTATACCTAGGTAGACTCCAAGGTTGTAGCGCAGAGCTAATCTTGCGAGTGACTCATATCAAGGTAACTATATACAACATACATATGTATGATGGCCATCACAGCTTCCCAACGTAGAAGGTACAAGAATGGTCGCGTTTGCGGCCTTCTGAGGTCTTGTTGGTTGGTCTCTTTGATTAGCCTTTTTAAATGTCCTTTGAAATGTCTTTTTTAAGAAATCACCCCTAGATAGATAATATTGTTGTGATTCTTTAAAGCCTCAGGAAAATAGGGCTGCGGACCTCCGTGCTACAGCTTTCCACGGTTCAAGAATCGCACAGGGAGATCAACATGCCGCGCCCGTAGATATTCCGCCACATTCTTCCCTAGGAAATCGACCGTGGTGGTCACACCGACGCCCCGATCTAGTAGATTGCGAAAGAGGAAATGGACCGCATGAAGGCTAGGCAACTCGAACCGATCAATCGCCAACTGCTGGTTCTCACGGCCAGTATCTCCCAACAGCTCTTGCGCCTTGCCGACAGATAGCAACGCCCGCAGCCATTGGTACTCATCACGGTGGCGCACCCAGAAGCCGCAGTTAGCGTCAGCACCTTTGTCCCCAGAGCGTGCATGAACGATCCAACCTAGTGGACCACGGGTCGTCGGACCAAAGTCGCGGGTAAGGTCAACGGGCCCGTCAGAGTGTGTGACGGGCTGCGAGGGCTGGCGTGATGGATATGCCCTGGTGTTTGTCGGAGGTGAGATATCGAGAGTTTGCGTAGATTTTGTCGGCTTCCAGGGCATGTGAACGCGGTGCTGGACAGCGGATTGTGGCAGCAAGCTGACATAGTACTCAAAAATGGCACGCGGGAATCCCTGGCGCATATCTAGGTGAAAGGTAGCGCCAGGGTAGCCCTGCATGATGTTGTCGGTGATAGGTTTGAGGAACTGTGTCGGTGCAAGGTCCTCCGCATGTCGTGCCTGTACAACGATGCGTAGCGGCACAGTAGCGCGATTCTGGTTGTGTGGGTCGGAGATGGAAGATCCCAGTAAATCGAAATTAAGCGATGTATATTTGTCCGAATAGGGTGACAACAATTGGCGGACCTGTGCCTCCAGCATGCGAGCTTTGGCTTCGATATCCAGACCAGTTAAAAACCACCATGCCTCTGCTTGGAACCCACCTCGAGCAGTGATACCAACCTTAGTGGTGGGCGGAGGAGGACTGGATCGAACTCCATGAACAGCAACACGATTGACGCCGCGCTGCGAGAAGTGTACACCATCGAGAACCGCAGTGACATCGGAGTTGTAGTACCAAGCTCCTTGTATTTCGTAGAGCAGTTGAGATGTGCAAGTATCGACAGTCACAGCACCACCGGTAGCATGCGCCTGCTTGGTGATCACAACGTCGCCCTCGGCAGAGATCTCGGCGATTGGATATCCGATGTTGGTCCATCCATCTCCATCTGCGTGCTCTAGGGCTTTGAAGCCTGTAAAGTTACCTCCACAGACATAGTTGCTGCACTCGATCAGATGGCCTGCTACAAACGCATTCGCTAGCTTGTCAAGCTCATCTCGCTGCCAGCCATGGTACCAGTAAGCAGCTCCGATGACAGGTGAAGCATCCGAGACCCGCCCACATAATACAATGTCCGCGCCATCTGCGAATGCAGCCGCAATACCGAGGCCACCGAGATAGCACTGGGCATAGATGGGCTCGAATGACCAATCTGCCAATCGCTCACCTGTGTAGACGTTGCGAAATTCAGATCCGGAAGTCAATCCCTTCTGGACGGTAGATAGCACTTCATCCCCGGAAACCCATGCAATCTTGGCACCCAAATCAGCAATTATGCATCAATTTTTAGGCATGGTGCTGACTCACCTTCAAGTCCAGCTTCTTTGCCTCAACCATACGTATCACCACCTCGTAGAGACCCTTTGTGTCAGTCACTCCAGCGTTAACCGCGAGCTTAATTCCATACTTGGCCAAATCATCTAGAGCTGGCTCAAGTGATTCTAGGAAGGAGGGCTCATAGGCCGGTGCTGTGTGTTCTTGGGAGGCTGCCTGGTCCACGCGCCGACCTGCGGCAGTGGCCATGTTAAATTCGCTCATGAAATCAGCAATGATGACATCGATAGGATCGGTCGGGTGGTGACGCGCAAAATCAGCGATAGCCTGACGCCGGTCTGAGGCAGATCCCGAGGCACCTAAGAGGTCAGTTGGAGTACATCATGAAAGCAAGTACTCCATATACCAACCTGCAATGCGAATGGGGCGGCCCTTGTATGTCATTGTGCTTTAACCAAGTATTGTCTTATATCCCTGTACATGGAGGTAGTAGGATATTAGGCAAAAAAGCATTGAGTCTAGAGATTCCTTCTTATTTCCTCACGTCGCTTGCGTTGCACGGCCGAGGTGGTTGTGTCCCTCGGCTGAGAATGCGGGGTTGATGGGGAGAGACCTCGTCTCTAGTCTTTGTGACGAAGTAAGGGGAGATTTGAGAGGTACACATTTTGCACTCGAAAGCCAGCTCGTTCGGGCATTGGGTTATTGGGTTATTGAAGCCTCTGGATCTGAGTGATTAAGGGAAATTGCCCCGGTGCTCTACGGTATCAGCCAATTATCATGTCGGGACTAGCGTGTTTAGTATACTTCATCTGAAAAGGTCACAACTCCAAGGACTGCCCCTGTTGATTTATTATCAATTTATCATTATATCGTCTGATGGTTTGAGATTCATATTGTGAAAATATCATTGAGTGATTGAAGGCAACAACGCTGATTTTAACGCCCCAGTGGTTTTCGATAACTCCATACATGCAATAAGGCATAAACATCCATGGATGTAAAACGCAAATTACCTACGACGCCTCGAGGTGGTCGGCATTTCTTCAAAGGCGTCATCGTCATCGTCATCGTCATCGTCAATACCATCGCTTATAACACTCATATTACGGGTGGAGCGGCTAGGTCGTGAGGACAGAGGCGCGCTGGCCTGTGAAGCGGAGAAGTTGAGCGTAAACTGAGCTGGCTTACCGCGCGCAGGGGCTCGCCGAGAAGCAGTCCCCCCAACAGTGACCGATGACGGAGCGGGCGAGGCAGCAGCACGTCCACCGCGGCGCTGGGTCGTCGTCGTCGTAGTAGGGGCAGCTTTTCGTGGCTTTGCGGTAGTGGTAGAGCGAGGCTGCTTGACAAACAGTGCCTGCGAATCATCGTCGTCATCATCGTCCAGCATAATCACGTCCGATTCTTCGTCTGAGACCGTTTGCTTTTTGCGACCCTTCGTAGTCTTTGTTTCTGGGGTAGGTTTGGACTTGGTGGTTCGCAGAGCGGCTGTTCCACCTCGGCCACGACCCCTACCACGACCGCGAGTCGGGCCTGCAGCACGACCACGAGCGGCAACTGTCCCATCTTCTCCAGCTTCTTCCTCTGCTGGATCCCCACCTTCATTGTCAGAATGAATAAGTGCACCGGGCTGGTCTTCCCACACGCCATCAAACTCGGAATCCCACCCATCTGGCTTGGGCTTAAAGCGCTTTTTGCCGCGAGTTCGCTTCTTCACGCCCTTTGAAAACATGGTTTCCATCTGACCACGATATTTCTCCATAGCAGTGACTAGCGAGCTTTGCTCTCTCTCCTCGTCGTCCATCTCGTCCTCGTCGCGATCTAAGGCTAACAAGTGTTTGACCTGGCTCTCGAGGGATTCATTGACGAACATCTCCATGGCATGCTTGTCATCCTTGTCAATGAATTGAGCAACAGCATCTCCGAAAGAATTCTGCGGCAGAATAATTAACGACTGTGATGAGAGGAACTCGCGCACTAGTTGTTCGACTTTCACAGTGTCAAGGGCTGATAGATGAGAAACGGCCGATTCATCAATGGATTTATCATCCTTGCGCGACGTAGAAGCGGTTTTTTTCTTGCGGTAGAATTGCACCACATCATTCACGTTAGCGACCTTACCAATGAAGCGATTGGAGAATCGCTGCGGGTTTTCACAATCGTAACTACCACCTTCAGGTGTGGAAGTCTCCACACGGAGGCGAACGAGAGGAAGCGGAACTTCCAGCGTGTCATCGCTGTCCTCATCAATGCGGTCGCCTTGCATCTCTAACCATTCTGCGTTGGCTTCTTCAATCAGCTCTTCGACAATGGACATGAGGAACCGAGTTACTTCTGTGCGATTGTTTTCCTTGCGTGCAAGCTTTTGGGCTCCCTTTTCTTCGGATAATACAATTTCCCGCATCACAAACGGTCGCACCGTCTTCAATCGGATAGGTTCGTTTTTAAATTCTCGGCCTGTTACACTCAAAATCGAGACCTGCTTTGCAACAGCCTCCCCAGGTACCAAGGATGTTGCGACAGACGATCCTGGCTGCATAACATGGAATTTGGTCTCTGGGTTGAGCTTAGGATCAATCAGGCATTCATGTTCGTGACCCCAGACGACCAAATCGAGAAATTCGGGAAGGAAGTTCTCCGGCAGGTAACTAGTTTCTGTATGGGCATGATGGTTCTGATGCACAGACATCAAATTGAACCAGTCACTTTTCTGGACAGACGGTTGGAAGAATTTAACTTTGCCATCACGAAAGGTGCGGAACAGTCGCTCATCTCGAACGTTGCTCATTCCGTACAGCGCAAGCTTTGTCCGGCCTTTCTGTAGCAAGACAGGCTTAATTTGAATGTTGTCTGACTCCGGAGTCCGGCCGTAGTAGTTGAGAAGGCCGGACACTTGCAGTAGATCTAATGCGGCCAGATGACCCTCTCCCGAGGGATCGTCGTGATTTCCGTGGATGGAGAAGATAGGAATCGCCACGTTCATATCCAGGTCCTCGTAGTTGACATGGTTGAATGCCCCCTGAAAGTTTTCACTTGCATCGCTGAGCATCTCTAGTTCACACGGCTTGTCCCCGAAACAGTTCATTCGAATCGACCGCATGACCTGGTACATGGATTTTCGCGACGGCTTATTCTCATGGAACAAGTCTCCTGCCAGGAGAACCATATCGACATCCCGTTCCTTGGCCAGGCACATTATTTCGTGGAAGCTCTTCCAGCTGTCATCCCCACGGATGGGATCTCGCTCGTTGTAACCGACATGATTATCGGTGGAGATGAGAATACGAATAGTTTCCGCCTCTATAGATCGATCAATAAGCTGAACAGCTATTCGATGAGAAGGATGTCTTACCATTTACTCCAGGCATTTTGGATGACCAAACTCACGCGTCTTATCCAGCGCTAGCGTTTATGCGGGGTATTGGGGTTGATGAGACACCGGGGAGAAATGACAAGACAAATGCCGTGTATCAATGAGGCATTCTAGAAGAATCACATCAAATTCGCAACCAAGTCGTACTGAGAGAGTGGGTAACATCCCAGGACTCGCTGATTTGGCTTCTGTCGCGCTGTCACGTGCTGAACGCGTTGTGGATAGCGGCCATTCAGTATAAATGGTTTTATGGGAGAAATTAAAGGGAGGAAATTATTTTAAAACAAAAAGAAAGATATGATAATGATAAATAGAACAATTTATGAAGAGTAAATAACGCCTTTTTTGGCCATATCGTATCCAAAGTAGAACAGAGCCGCATATGCCGCATATCACAACTAGGGACTTCGGCCCTGTTCGCTTTTATTGCCAGCAGAAAACTGCATGTTATTGTAGCGTAATAGTTGGTTGAATGGAAAATTTTATTCATGTGGTTATTAACTTGATACGCAGATTAAAGTCCTACATCTTTAAATATAAAGGCCAACTCTTCTGCTTCTATATATAAATAACTAACTCAGTATCAATCTGGAGAAATTTCAATTGAAGTATACTACTCCAAAAAAGGCGGAGATCTGAGCGGTGAACCCTGACAGCCAATAGGATCATAGCACGCAAGTGGTCGCTGTCCGCGATAGCCGCATCTGCTTAATGTGCGAGATGGCCACTTTGCCTCGCCTTCGGCATCTTCGCTCTCCACCATTTCTCTCTTCAACATCGCCTCGCTTTCATATAATTCCTTTTCGTCCGGCATTCCTTGACTCGACTGACCCAGTGTTTCTGGCTCAGTCGCTACCACCTCATCTTTCCGTTAAGACCTTTTTATGCAACCAGCGCCTACTGCCGTGTCTCAACATACGCCCCCCATTGACTCATACCCAGTCATTATCAGTCCCACCCAGCATGGACATGACCTCGACGACGCTCAAGTCTCTGATTTCCTCGAGCGAGAGGAGATCAGAGACTCTGCAGACGTCCCGAGCATGTCAACAAAAGACGAATCTGATGCGTCCTTGAACGAGGTCGACGGTCGCCATGCCCCGCCCTCGGCCGATCGAGTGAGCCAGCATGAGAATGCTCGGACTCCCCCCAGACAGGCAGCAAATGCCGGATCTTTGTTAGTGGCTTCTTTTGGAGAGTCGCAAACATCTCTTGAGACATTTCCAAATGGTAGGAGTCCTGCAATCCCGCGGCGCAACCAATACTAACAACTCTAATTTCCAGAGGTTCTCACCCATATCCTATCGCATCTACCACCCCAATCCTTGTCCGCCATCACGTTGGTGTCCCGTCGATTTCATGCGCTAGTTACCACTCCTCATGCTTGGAGAATCGCCTTCTCGCGATTCTTCCCAGGGCCCCATGCCGTTGAAGGTGGTCGGCGTACCAATACCGATGCGGCAGACCTACAGTCGGACAGGCGATTCTTCGCGAGGCTAACCGCCCTGGCCTCCTGGCGCAGCGAATACATCTTGCGCACCCGCTTGATGCACTCGTTAGCCCGGGGCAAACCGGCGCAGTTCAACCCGTCCAAGAAGCATGGAACTGTACGCACGGCTAGCGCTCGCCATGGTAGTGCTATAGCTACGTATACATCACAGCTCCTCTTTCCGGTCAGTCACATGCATGCCTCTTTCAGGCCCGACAAGAACCCTCTTTTCATCCATGGAGCCGCAGAGCAAGGAATTGCGTCTGCCAGTGACCCATCGACCGTAAAAGTCGGCACCTGGGGTGTCTCCGACCACCAAATGTTCCGCCACTTTGCAGATATGTTCCCTGGTGAAGCGCAATATGGCCTCGGATCGGGTGATATGGTCGGTATGCCCAACTTGATGGACCTCAGTCAACCATATGGCATGATCTATGGGGAAGGCTGTCCCCAGGGGCGCAGCTACTTCATCTCGGCAACGGAGCAGCGTGGTCGTTTCTTGGGAGCTTCGGGTTTGGGCTCTCACCCACCACTCGGCATCCCCGCCGTGAACATGATCACTCATGCTGTCTGTTCGGTGTGGATTGCCAAATCCTCTCACATCCTCAAGATGACCCAGGGGCTGGTAGGGATGCTGTCTGGGTCGTCTTCGGGTGTGTTGACGGCGTATTCTATAGGCCCTCATCCGACTTACGAAAGGCGACACGAGCCAGGTCAAGTGACTGCTAGATGGGTTCTGTGCCCTGGTGTTCCTATTATTGGCATCGCGGTGGACGATCAATATTCACTGAAACGCTATTCAGGGAAACGAATTTGGGCTGTTGCTCTCAATGCTCTAGGAGAAATATTCTACCTCACTGAGCTTCCTCAGGCACCTGAGATCCCGCTCACAACCAAACTTAACGCCGAGCAACTTGACGAGGCGGCTTGGAAGACTGGTAGAAGTGTGCATTGGGAAATTATCGAAGCGAGTAGACGTGTGGCACGCCCAGATCCTTTTAATCGGGAATTGGTTGATGGCAGCTACAGTCCGCGATCATCATCGGATTCCATGGGGCTCAACGAGCACCAAATTGCCGCTGAAACGAAAGAGATTGAAAATTTCTTATCTTTCAAGCCCAAACACTTCCGTAAGGTCTGTGAAAGTTGGGATATGCAGCGCGATCTTAAGGTCGACTTTGCTGGCGATGATGGGTGCGGGGCAGGCGAGTCGGTCATTATCATCGCTCGTGGCTCGGGCGAGGATACAAAGGCATCAATCCGGCGGTTCACGCGCACGGCTTCTATGTCTGATTTCAGCTCGGCCACCCCGGAGCCCTTATTGGGGACACCGGAAGCTCCGCCGTCACTCTTCGGCGGCCCAGTGAACATACCAAGTTCGAGTGTCACCAGCAGTATTCCCCCTTCTCGATCCCCCGAAGGGATGGGCTCACATTCATCCAAGTTTGAATGGCGTCTGTCGGATTTTGTTTTTGGTGATCGCAAATCTACGGAAGTGAGCACGAGTGCATTGGATACGTCCACTTTCACGACTCTCACAGCCGATGAGGATCCTCTTTTAGCTATGTCTGGGAGCTCCACTTCGTCTGCAACATCCTCCCCGATGCTACCACATATGGATCAGCCGCGGTCGGGCCTGGAGGTTCCTGGACAACGCGCTCGATACTTGGCTGTTGGAACCTGCACTGGGATGGTGTACGTCTGGGATATCCGAGCTCCGGCGGCGAAGTCTGCGGAGATCATCAATTCCATATCCTCATTGCGCATCATCCAAACAGACTCGCCCCAGGTATCTTCCTTGGCCATCACGTCCTTGTACCTTGTTCATGGCGGTAATGATGGACTCGTGCAAGCCTGGGATCCATTAGCATCGTCTACCAAGCCAATTCGGACTATCAACTCCCGTTTCTCAACCCGGGCCCGTCGTCGGCTTGTGCAGGCTGAGGCATCTATTCTAGGTGTTGGAAACAATTACTATGCCACAGGCGCTATCTGCCTTGATACAGACCCAACCGTTCTGCGTGGAATGGTCTCACTTGGCACCCACTTGCGATACTGGTCTTACAGTTCTTCCGAGGCGGATCAGTACAAGAGCAGCAAGCGCCGCCTCCGCCACCTAATGCGTGGTGGCAACGGTGCCGGTGAAGGCCAGCGCTTCAACAATAGTGGCCGGGGTGCCATTGAGGACTTCATTGAAGATGAACGTGTGGATATGGAGCGTCAAAAGATTGCCGATGAGAAAGAACGGGCACATTTGAGCGCGCGTTTCGGTATTGATCTCCTTGGACCAGACATCGACGAGGAACAGCTTTTGCTGTATGCCCAACTCCTGAGCGAGGAGGCCTGCTCTGGCGATGCGGCGAAGCCCACAGACAGCGCCCCAATCTCCAGCTCAGCCACAAGCACTTCATTCGACACTGTTGGTCCTAGTTCACTTGGCCCTGGCGACATCTCATCCTCTTCATCTCCTTATCAAGATCCCACCGACGATAATGATGACGACGAACTTGCCGAGGCAATTCGTCTTAGCTTGCTTGACGAGCAAGGTGTTGACCAAACATCGTCTATCCCTATCAAGTATGCCAAGGGAGTATACCCGCCTCGACAGCCATCGCCTGGAGCTGAGGAGGCCGAAGGCAGTAGACAGCAAGAGATGGATGATCTGGAGTTTGCGATTCAGCTCAGCTTGGCTGAGGGCAAGAGTCGCGAGGATGATGAGGAGGAATGGGAGGAATTCCCATGTCTCGCGCCGGTGCCAATACCTGCCTCACCGTCAGGCAAGGGCAAGGGCAAAGCGAGAGCTGTTTAGAGTCAATGTGCAGTTGTTTTTGCATTTGAATTTTGTATCGTGTTGATGTTTGAAATTCCCAATTGTTTACATTTTCTATAAATCAAAAGATTCCTCCAGATATTATAATATTCACCAAGCCGAGTTCCGAAGGTAAATATTCTTAGAAATGAAACCCATAAGAGGTATGTATTCCCTTTGGGAAATAGACGCGTACTGTATATGATTACCAGATGAAACCCACTACTTTTTATTATACATTTTGATCATTGTACACACCTCGCTTTTAGACACTGCAATCGCAGCTGCCAAACGCGTCGACTTTCCTGTTGCTCGCATTTTGGTTGTTGGCCCCAACTCTCCAGAAGCACAGCTGCAACATGTTGAATCTATGTTAGGAGGCGGAGCGCCTGGAGTAACACGCCCGAATATAGACGGAGCTGTCGATACAGCCATCTCAGTATACTCTTCCGGGACTATTGGACGACCCAAGGGGGCAAGGATCACCCATAGCAATCCTGTGGCCGACATTATTATACAGGGACGAGTTGACGGTGACCACATAAACTGGAGAATGGATCGGTTCCTCGCATTCTTACCACAATTTTGAGCGGAGATAAGATTGCATCCGAGGTACTAGTTGCTTATGTCGTTCTTGAGCAGGCGAGTAAACTAACAGAGCAGGTTGCGGAGGAATTGGTAGCCTACGCTGGTGGAAAACTGGCTCCTCATAAGAAGCTGCGAGGTGGAATTATTCCGATCGGTGAGATTCCTAGGGGTGCTTCTAGCAAAATTCCAAAACGGGTCTTGAGAACTAGGGCTGAAGGCGTCGATCAAGGGAAAGCTATTGGTGCAACAATCTATAACGATCGTCCTTCTAAGCTGTGATATTTACAATAACAGAAGGAGATAAGAATAACAAATACACTTATAGAGACTCAAAGGATTTCTTGCCACGATACAATTGTGACTTCTTCCAAAATGCGATGGCTTGATACTGGAAGCTTGAAAACACGAAAACTAAAAATATAGACGTGAATTGTCCGAAAGGAATCATGTACAAATTAATAGCCGGATCACAAGAAAACCGCGCAAAGAAGATAGGAGTAACCCATACAGAAAATAGATCTTCAAGACCCGACCCGACATCTGCCTCTAGGTCAGTTCAATCCGAATTCTGAAATTCAAGAATAAACTAAATCAAAAGCCATCGAGGCAATTAAACAAGGGATGCAAGCAGCATGAAGAACCCTCCTGCACCACCAATGGCAAGTGAAGTCACGCCATTAGGAGAGGCGGCATTATTGGAGGGGGTGGAAGTACCGGAGCTGGAGGAAGAACCAGAGGTGCTCGATCCGGTGGTTGTTCCAGAGGAACTCGAACTGGAGGAAGAAGACGGGGTGTTGGCACCGCTCTTCACCTCAAACTTGACACCGGTAATCTCCTTGCCGGTGTAGTCATACACCTTCTGGGGGATGGTAGTAGAAGAGACAGAGACCAACTTGCCAACCGGGGCATCGGGCAGACCATTCTTAATGTAGTCTGAGACCTTGGAAGGAACCTCGGGCAGATCCCAGGCGTTGTAGAAGGACTTGCTCTTGATGAGGGAGGTACTGCACGCCTCAGCCTTAACATTGGCCTGGGTGGCGTTGCTTGACATGATACGGTCCATGTCCAGCTTGTTGAGCTGTTTCTGGAAGTTATCATAGTCGATAAGAGTGGTCACAGTGTTGGAGTCGTTGACCTTGACCAGGCCGTACTCATTCTTCTCCTGGGTCCATTCGTAAACGAGACCACCAGAGAAAGCCTGGGTCATCTCCACGCCATAGAGGGCCTGCACTTCGGTGAAAATGCGGGGCTTGACATCGTTACAGCCGTACTCGGAGAAGAAAACGGGGATAGTGGCGTTGGTGAAGTCCTCGGTTAGGACATCGAAGCCACTAGCCTTGTAAGAAGAGTCACCACACCAAGAGTAAGAGTTGAGACCGAAGAAGTCGGCGCGGGATGAGGTCGAGTTCTTAAGGTCACACTCGAAGTAGTGAGTGGTATCCATCAAAATATTACGGATATCGGCAGCGGAGTATCCAACAGGAATGGCGCGCTTAGAGTTCTTGGCGATGTAATCCTTCATATCACGAACGACGGCACGGACGTACTTGGGTGCCAAGTAATGGGCATCCTCGTTGATCACCTCGTTTCCAGCGAAGAAGCCCAGGACGTTGTCGTAGTTCTTGAAGCCCTCGATAACACCGAACACCTGCTTGTAGTAGATGGCACTGTAGGTAGTCCAGGGGGCGGCGCGGTCCATATAGCCACCGGGCAGAGGGTTGCTGACATCGAGAATCATGTAGATACCGGCGGCATTGAAGATCGACGCACACTCGTCGTGGTTGAGTGAGGGCTCCAGGTTGTACACACGGATGGTGTTGACCTATGGAAATAAGTTGCTGTACTGTAAGGAAGATAAGGTTTGTACTTACACCTAGGCGCTGCATGAGGGCAGCATCGCGTAGGCAGACATCTGCATCGCTCAAAGGGTCTAGCTTCGTGGTGAAGCCGGCTTCACCACCGGGTTGGTAACTATTGTGGGGTCAGCCACTGTCGAATGTGTGGGGTAGGAAACAGGCAAGAAACAGCTCCAGAGACAAGGAAGTCTTACTCGACACCGATAATCTGGAAACGATCATTGGTCTTTGAGTCAACAAAGTCCTTGCCGCTGACTTGAAGTGGGGTCAAAGCGGCCGCGGTGCTGGCGAGCGCACACACGGATGCGAAGAGACCGGTGTAAGACTAAAAGGTCAGCTTTGGAGCTGAATGATAAGAGATGCGACAGCACATACAATCATTGTAAAATCAAAGGGAGTATAGAAAATCAACCAGCAAAAAAATGTATAAAGGTTGTGGTTATAATAAGAGTCCTGGAGAGATATAAGATGAGATAAGATATTAACGAGAGACAGCGCAATGGCGCGAAATGGGAAGGAATGACTGGAATCAAAAGAAAAGAAAAAAGAAAAGGGAAAGGGAAAGGAATTAAAGTCCTTAAAAGGTCTTAACTTAGAAAGAATTTCAATATCAAGAAACCCCAAATCAACGGTCTCAATTTAGTGGAGCACTATAGTCCCTGAACAAATAATAGGGGTCATGGAGGGTCATGGAGGGTCTTGGGTTCTTGGAGGTTTCACATCTTCGTTTCACTATCTACGGAGTAGTCTACTAGTATATTGGCATCTAGTATGGAGTACTCCATACTCCATAGTATACAATTGTTGGTTTATACTATGCCAAATTATTAAATTGCACTCGTAAATTAAAAAAAGGTCTTGGTTCATTTTCTCCCAATTTCTTTCTCTCCCAAAAACCAACTCGCGGGCCAAGTCCGGCCAAGAATTCCCACTCAGGGCCAAGATACCCTTCAATAGTGATTGCTTGGAGCGCCATGTCTGGGCTGTCTCTGGGCTATTTGGGCTGTGTTGAAATGCTACATTCAGGGGTAAAGGGAACAGAAATCTGCTCTCTCGGTACTTTTATTAGAAATTTACAAAGTTGGTGGTTAGTGATATATCATTACCCAGTGTGGTTGGTTAGTTAACTAGAGCTTATCAAGTGTGCCTAGTTTCCCAGGTGTCAAACACCCACCTGATTCGCAACTTCCCTGTTGATATACTGGACTTCATACTTAACCTCTCACTGTTCTTCATACATAAATACATAGATACATGTTGTATGTATGTATCTCTTCCACCATGGATATTTCCAGTGAAGTGGAATAAATTTGTAAATTTGATCTATACATCTTGAAAAGTCTTGGACCCCAGGTCATACATCCGTATCTTTATAGCAAAGTGGAGGTAGCTCGACTCCTATGCAACCGCTCTCTCTCTCGCTCTCTCTGTCTCCCAAGTTGTCTCTTCCGCCCCACTCATCCATTTGCTTGGCTTCTTCTTTTTCCCGGCCCACATACAACATATGAATAGCAACAGGGACTAGAAAGTGCGCTCAATTTCGATACCTGTGGACATTCCTCGTCTTGTATAATTGCTATAGTGCTATAGTACTCACTAGCAGTATTACTACCAAATGATCTCTCTATGATGTTCAAAGGTTTTTGTAGCTAGGACCCCGAAGGAATTAGGGTTGGATAGATAGCTCCTTCTACCATTGGAATAGCCTATGAGCCTATGAGCGTCTTCTTGGATATAAGATAGAAAGGCGTATATACCTATTAGGAAGAAAAAAAAACTGAAAGAGAGAGGTAGCTTTAGATTGGTGGTATCTCTTCTGCTCCATCTAATTGGATTTGGCAATAACTCGCCATCAATAAATCCAACTTACATGGGAGCCCTCATCCACACACACCTTTTCTTTTCCGTCTCTCCCACGGCTCTTGGGCAACGAACATACCAGTTCTCCGCGATATAAATTATGTGATACAAATTTGAGAATTCCATGTGTCTAAAATACAAGTTGATGAGGGGTCAGGTCCAGTTATCTATTCGATGTTATCGTCGGTGCCAGCCTTGGCGCCGGCGGATTGACCACCATCAAGTGCGATAAGTTCAGCGAGAATTTCGAGGGTTTCCTTGGGGACGGTCTTGTCGTAAATTCCGATCAAATCCTAATTAATTATAGCAGTTAGAATGGTGAACATGAAGAAGAAGGCGCCAATAGCTGACACCGGGAATGGCTTGTACTTACCTGAGGCTGGGGGTAGACCTTCAATGCTTTCCAAAAGGCAATGGCTGCTTCGACTTGGGAGCCTGGGGGTTCAGTTAGCGATCTGTTTATTCTGATTACGATGTATAACCGATATCTTGATCCCTTCGGAATCGAGATAGGGAGACAATGGATTAGATTTACCTTCCGAAGCACAAAGAGATTCGCCCAACGCGACTTGGCTCATAAAGAAGCTTTCCTTCTCTTCGAGGTCGGTTGGAAGTTCACCGTTCCTCTTCACTTGTTCGAGCGCATTCTTAAGCTCTGCGACCCTGGCTGCGGCGCCGGCCTCTGCCTCCTGCTTCACAGTTTGTTCGACCTTCTTGTTGTTCTTCTTCAACGATTTGCGGAAGTTAGGGTCGCTTTGACGCTTGTGATCGAAATAAACGGCGTAGGCTAGTACAAAGGATTAATATTTGAAGAACGCGGCGAGACGAATGCTACATACCGAGAACTCCCGTCAGAATCGTGCCGGCGACGATGGCAGTATTTCGGAAAGCCATAGTGAATATGTAGGATGAGAAGAAATTCGAGGTATAGGATTTGTCCCAGCTGATTGTATGGGGACTTGGAGAGGCGATAGTGGTTGAGTGATGGATGAGTGATAAAAATGTTTCAACGATGTCCAGATGTCCGGGGCCTATTATGGATTATGTAATCGTACCCGCAGCCCGAGCGTCATCCCCTTGACCTCCCGATACGTTTCCATTCCTTAATTGTTGCTGTATTGCCAAGTGAAATCACCATGGAAGGCCGAGGATTAACTCTGAGGAGCAAGTCTCGTCGGCAGCGCCCTCAGATCAGCGCTCCCAAACCCATCTCCGGTCCTCTACCTCCTAATACCAGGTCTCCCGAGTCAGGCCCATCTGCAATCCCCACACGTGAGCGGGCACCCCAGAACGACGCGACATCGGATTTGGTGAAACGGCGATACTCGACTCGATTCAATGGCGCACCTGAATTTGATAGTAATGCTCCTCCAGTTCCGGCACTTCCAACTCAGGTGCCCGGGGGTCGTGGCGGGTTAGCACCGGCAGCTATTCCGAGGCTCCCATCACCAGCGGACCCGAACTCACCAGCACCCAAAGTCGACCTCAATGCTCTACGAGATCCTAGTCTTCCAGTTGATCGATGTTAGAGCTCCTTGGCCCGCCGTTGTGTGTTTGTTAAAGCTAACCAGGAGTTTCCGATTGCTAGATGTGGCCGGTCTTCTCGCCAACGCGTCCGAGGAAGATATCCAAAAATACCAAGAAAGCCTACGCAAAGTGAAGAACCGAACATCTACCGATCTCCAGCAAAATGTCTATCAGAATCGCACCCAATTCATCAAGATCAGTAAAGAGGCGGAGAAGCTGAAGGATGAAATGCGGACCCTCCGCACCCTCATGGCGGAACTGACAACGGCGCTCGGACAAACAAGCGTAGGAAATTCACCTAATCCCATGTCACCGATGGAAGACTCTTTCCCTAAACGCAATGCCAATCGCAGCTCGGTTGCCAACCTTGAGAGTATGTGGAGCGTACAGCTACAAACATTATGGAAAACAGTCGAAGGGTCACAAAAGTGGCTTCCAGCCGCACCAGGACGGCACATTGTCCTAGAAACCGGTAACTGGGTTGAGTTGGACTCAGCCACCTGGAAACCAAGACGGCCCGTTCACATTGTGTTGTTGAACGATTACCTGCTCGTGGCTGCGAAGAAGCGCAAGCGGGTCGACCAAAGTCACCCCAACCACCGAGGACCTGTTCCAACGAGGCTAGTGGCAGAAGATTGCTGGCTTCTTAACGATATTGATATGATTGACCTTGGTGCCAATTTGGGAACGGGGCAAGCGCGCGAAGAGGCTTTGGATCGGGGCATTGGGAGATCGATCAGCATCCGCGTGGGATCCAAACCGTTTACATATCGCCATGATGACGTTTCAGCGAAACAGGAACTTCTAGCTACTTTCCGCAAGACAGTTGAGGACCTACGTCGAACCATGCGCTCGGAGACCGAAGCAGCCAGCAAGCCCTTGGAATCATATGGATATATGGCTGGTCGGCACATTTCCCATCCGAAAAAGCCAGAGGCTTTCGAGCTCTCCGATACTCCAAGAGACAAATCTGATCTGCGCATTGATGTGGATGGGAAGCAACAGAACCTCCGTTGGGTGGAAGGGCAGGTGGACGAGCTTGATATCGATATCGCACTTCAGCGATTCGAGGCGTCTGTGTTCAGCATCGAGCGACTACGGAAATTGGCCAAGGGTCTCAAGGGCAATACCATTGCACAAGACGTCATCAATTTCAAGGTCGATGGGCGAGCGACTCGGCTTGCTGGTATTCTCTCGCGGGCACTGGTCGACAAGCACTCATTCCCGGTGGCTACCAAGACTCACGTTACCTGGTTGACTCGGTTAGGGTTTGAGGATCAGGCACGTGAGACTTACCTAAAGGCACGTTCGGACGTGATCGGCCAACGCATTCGGCAAGTTCTTCATCATTTATCAGACAAACTTATGTTTTACATGCTGACTCTTTTTATATAGGGCCTGTATCTTCGAAGGTGATCTACCTCTTTACATTTTCCAGATCTCCTATGTCTATTTTACCCTGATCAAGAACACCATCAGTATCTATCAACAATGCTTCCCTAGCGTAATGAGCAGCTCATGCATTCGCTGGGCTAAACATCACCTCGACGGGTTCAATGCTCTGCTCAGCCGACAGCTTAGTAGCGTCCAGCGTGGCACATCGGTCTGGCAAAAATGTCTCGACATTGTGCACGATCATGCGGCTCTCTTGGTGGAAGTGGGCGTGGATTTCACAGACTTGGTGGCTCGTGGACTGGAAGAGAACGGCGAAGGATCGTTTGATGGGCCACGCACCGTCCAACCGGGCGAACTGGCACAGGCACCATCCGCGGTAGCCATGCTGTAGTTGATTTATTGTGAAATGTTTGAATATCGAATTAGCGACCTTGATTTGGGATTTACGCTATGATTGTGTTTAGACGGAACAAATAATTATGTCCTAAAATCCCACCCCAGCAACGTAACATACGGAGATAAAATGCTAACCCCGGCTGCTCCCCCCTTCCGTAACCCTTGTTTCGCGTGTCACTCACCGTCGACTTCTCAACAACCATTGTATGAGTGATGAAGGTCATTCTCACAGGGTCAACAGGCTTCGTCGGCCGCGAAGTATTATCTCAATGTATTGCACATCCTGCAATCACCTCGATCGTAGCGCTCAGCCGCCGAGACCTACCAGCACACGAAAAGCTCAAAGTTACATTAATTGAGGATTTTATGACTTATCCTGACCACATCCGGAATGAGATTCGGGATGCTGAGGCATGTATCTGGTATGATCCACTGTCATGTCAAGAGTCTCTGCATGAGGCGATATTGACCTTTTCTCTATACAGGACACTGGGTAAGGCTCACATGCCTGATAATGATGTCGCTCGACGAGTAAGCCTGGACTATACTCTTGCAGCTGCGCAGGTGTTTCAGGAGACTTGCCAGAAACCGTTCCGGTTCATATATTGTAGCGGTGCTGCCACTGAGAGGGATCAGACTAAGCCGCTCTGGTTTATGCAGGAGTATCGGCGCATTCGGGTATGAGACCTTGATAGGAACTATCGAAATTCCACTAACCAGTAGTAGGGTCAAGTCGAGAATGAACTTTTGGGATTCGTCAATGATCACCCTGGTTTCGAGGCTCACATCATGCGGCCGGCTATCGTGGTGGCGCGGGATATGAGCCTACGGAGTCTTGTGTTTAGTCTTGGGCCATCGGTGAAACTGGATGATTTAGTTGGCGCCATGCTTGACCTAGCTTTGAAGGGTGGAAAGAAGAATATATGGGAGAATGCTGATCTCAATCATGTTGGGTGAAGATCTAAGATCTGCATACAATATGAATGAATATTGTAGTTGGATTAAGCAATGAATTTCTATTATCATTCTAGTATGAACTATATTAACTATCCTAAATGATAATAATCCTAAAAATACATATTGAACTATGTCTATTTCCTATTTCGTTCTTTTCAAGTACTCCACAGTGGACATGGGCGTTTTTCTCCGCAATCGGCTAAATACAGCCCTGGGGGGGGGATCCCGTATGTTCCTCAAATTCTTCACCTTTACCCTCTTCAGGTTCTTCTATTCTTCTATTCTCCATATGACTTACCTTTAGGATTAGGGTATCAAAGTGTCAAATTAAATATGCCGATCCCCTCCTTACCCCTCTTTGCTGCGGCGGAGCAGCATGCACGCCAGAATCCCGAGAAGATCGCGGTCATTGACACCACCAAACAAGAATCCTTCACATTCGTTCAATTGCTGGCCGATGCAGCAGCATTAAGGAAGCGCATAATTGAGCAATTGGGTTTGAACGAGGATTTAGAAGAACGACGCATTGCCTTCTTAGTCCCCAATGGATATGACTACGTTGCTACACAATGGGCTGTGTGGGCGGCTGGAGGTGTCTGCGTTCCACTTTGTAGGTGGAAACTATGCGCATCAATGCGAAATATCTTGTAATCAACGCTGACATTCACTAGGCACAAGTCATCCAGTGAAGGAACTACTATACACCGTCGGCGATTCGGACCCCTCATTGATTATTGTGCATCCTGAGTTCGAAAAGATCGCACCGTCGCTGCGGGAAGGATGCGCCACCGATATACCGTTCTTTGGACTAGAACCATTTTCTCGAAATGAAGCTCCAACATTACCTTCTTTCTCCCCGCCGTTTGCTCTCACTCGCCGCGCCCTGATGATCTATACCTCTGGAACCACATCAAATCCCAAGGGCTGCGTGACAACACACGAGAATATAACTTTCCAAGCGAGCTGCCTGGCCAAGGCTTGGGAGTACGCTCCCTCAGACCGTCTCATCCATGTACTGCCGCTCCATCACGTCCACGGTATCATCAATGGCCTGGCAGCCAGTTTCCTGAGTGGTACCACGGTAGAGATGCATCCGAAGTTTGATTCGAAGGTGATCTGGGAGCGGTGGCAGGACCACGGCTCCTCGACCTTGTTCATGGCTGTGCCGACCATTTACTCTCGACTAAATGACTACTTCGATGCTCATATCCGCGGCACGGAACAAGAAGATGCCGCACGGGCTGGAGCTCGTGCTCTACGACTTGTTGTCAGTGGATCTGCGGCCCTCCCCACCCCCATCAAAGAAAAATTTGCCGAAATCACGGGTCAGGTTCTATTGGAGCGGTATGGAATGACCGAGATCGGCATGGCGATCAGTTGCGGGCTAGAGATTCAAAAGCGAATCGACGGCAGTGTGGGGTGGCCGTTACCCGGCGTCGAGGTGCGACTGACCGAAAAAGAAACCGGTCGGATTGTGGAAGAAGTGGATGAAGACGGCATGATCGAGATCAAGGGCGGTAATGTCTTCTGCGAGTACTGGCGGAAACCGGAAGCGACAGCGTCGGAGTTCACATCGGATGGATGGTTCAAGACCGGCGATGTTGCTAAACGCGATTCGAGCGGTGCATACTTCATCCAAGGCCGTGCTTCTGTCGACCTGATCAAGTCCGGTGGATATAAGATTTCCGCGTTAGAAGTTGAGCGCAAAATGCTGGCCATTCATGCGATTCAAGAAGTTGCAGTAGTCGGGTTGACTGACCAAGAATGGGGCCAGCGAGTCGCAGCAGTTGTCAAGTTCCGAGAAGGGGTATGTTTGTGTTGTACCCATTCGGGGGAAACTGTCTTCTTTGCATGACTAACAGTGACATAGACTACACCACTGGAACTTCCCACTTTACGTGCCGAGCTCAAGAACGAGATGGCCCCTTATAAGATCCCAACCGTTCTGAAGGTTGTGGATGTGATCGAGCGCAATGCCATGGGCAAGGTCAATAAGAAAGTCATTGTACAAAAGTACTGGCCGGATAAGGCATGAGCGGACAGATGAAGAGCAAGGGATGTCTAGGTGTGTCAGTTATTGGGCATACACTCTGTGAGTAATACTGTATATTGAACATAGACAAGAATATTTGTGCTTTTCTCCGTACAACCTTCGACATGAGGAAATTCACAAATGTACCAGCTAACCAATATAATACATCCTACCTGGGCTTCTTTGAGGTGATTACCAACGGTATATAGTACTTTCATCGTCATGCCAATCTGGTAGTGAAAGTATCTATAGATTTATCGGAAGTTGAAATGAGATACATAGTATGTCATGCGGCCTCTATACTTCACGATTTATGTTGGAGGACTTGTAGAATACGCAATTATGTAGCTTTTCGATCTTCAATTAGAATCCGATCTCGTCCTTTCAACCCCAATCTTGCTCATTTCCTTCTTATTGCCTCTATATCCATGATCTTATTCACTCTCTCTAGGGAAGATGGGGGGTTCTTTTTGGTGGGGAAGAATGGATGGTGTGCTACGTGTTCCAAACTTGAACATAAGTTCAAACATAGATGAATTAATGAATTATATTGAATTATATCGTCAGAGTTGGTATATAAGATGCAAGCCAAGTCCAGTCCCAATCCCAGTCCCAATCCCAATCCCAATCCCCAAGCCCCAGAAGATGCCAAGACAAAAAAAGAAAAAAGAAAAAAGAAAAAACACCCAAAATGGAAATGACCCCAAAATGACCCCAAATGACCCCAAAATAGAAACACACGACACACACATAACATACATAACACACATAACACATATGACACATAACACATAATATACACACATAGAAAGATAGACATACACTGAACGGGACCGTCAAATGAAACGGAGATTCATCTAATCTATACAGCGATGTATTCACGCTGCTTACGGAGTATCGAAAAACATAACTTTTCAAACAAAAAGGAAACACAAACGTCTCACATGAATCCATGGCGCTTTTGGATTCTCCTTTCCCAAATAATTATAATGGCAAAAGAGTTTTATATTCATGGCGCCAAGACAAGAGCAAGGAGAGCCATGCGGCAGTAGAGGCCGTAGCGCATCTATAACGTGGTTAGTATATTGTTCCATAAAGCGGGGGAAATTCAAAGCATACCTGGCGGAAGTAAGCAGCCCGCTGGTCGAAATCGACCTCCTCAGAGATCTCGGCATTGCGAGGCAGGGGGTGCATAACAACCATGTGGCTCTTGGCGTACTTGAGCAGAGCGTTGTCGATGACAAAGGTGTTCTTGAGACGCTCGTACTCGGAGAGATCGGTGAAGCGCTCCTTCTGCACACGGGTGGAGTACAGGATGTCGGAGCTGGCGACAATCTCAGGAGTCAGCTCCTCGGACTCGAGGACCAGCTGGCCAGAAGCAATGATCTGCTGGCGGACATCCTCGGGAAGAGCGAGAGCTTTGGGGGCAACAAGCTGGATGCGGACATCGTAGAACTGGAGCAGCTTGATGAGAGAGTGCACAGGGCGGCCGTACTTGAGGTCACCAGTGAAGGTGATGGTCAAGCCGGTGACAGTGCCCAGCTCCTCGCGGATGGTGAACAAGTCCAAGAAGGCTTGGGTGGGGTGCTCAAGGGCGCCGTTGCCACCGTTGATGACGGGAACCTGGGAGTATTTGGCGGAAATCTCGGTGCTGTTCGCGTCGGGGTGGCGCAGGACAACAGCGTCGCCGTAGCAGCCAAGAGTGCGGATGGTGTCCTGGAGGGTCTCGCCCTTCTGGGTAGAAGAGTGCTCAGTGGAGATGGCAATGGTGCGTCCACCGAGGCGCTGCATGGCGGCATCGAATGAGGCCGAGGTGCGAGTGGAGGGCTCGTAGAAGAGGGTAGTCAGGACACGGCCCTTCAGGAGGTCAAGAACGCCGTGGCGCTGGACACCAAGACGCATCTCCTGGGCGACGGTGAACAGCAGGTGCAGGTCGGCGCGAGAGAACTGGTTCACAGAGAGGATGTGCTTTCCACGGAAAGGTGAGCGGGAGAGCATGTCGGCCAGCGAGGGAGAGATCTGCGAGGAGGCGACGTAAAGGGGAGGACCAAGCTCGCCAACGGCCGGCACAGCGCTGTCCAGGGCCCGGAAGCGGCGGGCAGGAGTGCCAGAGATAGACGCGTGTCTATCAAGGGAACTCTCCGGGCGGGCCATGGGGGTCACGGGCTTCTGCACAGGCGAGGTGGGGACGATGCGGTGGGTGGACATGTCGGCACCCTTGACAGCATCCTTGGTGATTTCGCCATCGAGGCAAGTGGTCTTACCCTGGAAAACAACACGCTGAACGGAACCGCGCAGCGTCTTACCGTTGAATGGAGACCAGGCCTGGTGGGGGTTCTGGAAAACGTAGGGGCGGTCAACCTCGACCTCGAGCGAGCTGTCGACCTGGTCGTGCAGCTCAAAGATCTTCTTGGGGTTATCATAGAGACGAGCAGTGATGTCGTCAACGGTCAGACGGCCCTCTGCGACAGCGGTGAACAACAGAGGAATGGCCTCAGCGATACCGGCCTCGGGAGTGGCCTCCTTTCCAGCAAGCTGGAAGGGAAGGCTGCCAATGGCGAAGACGTCGATGGTGCTCATGTGGTCCCATAGAGCCTTCTGGTCCTCAACAGTGGGCAGGGAGCTGCAGGCCGGGAAATCCTCGCGAGAGAGGAAGAGGGAGTAGATGGAAACATCACATGTCACCTTCAGGCCCTTCTCCTTGCTCAGGGCGATGAGGCTGATATCCTCCTTAGAGGTAACACTCATGACGTGAATGTTACGGCTGTGAAGGCTGGCCAACAAAAGAATCGAGGCAAGATCTGTACTCTTGGCATCAGTGATCAGAGGCTTGCTCGAGGGCCAAGAGCTGAAGTGGTTGGTGACAGTGGCCACCTTGTTGATGTTGCCCGACAAGTGATTGAAGGGGACGAAGAGAGACCCAACCTCACCAGTCATCTGGATGATCTGGTCCGAGTTGGTGGCGGTG